TTGGAGAGTGAGAGAGGCATGAAAGAAATTCTCACGCGGCTGGACGCCGTGTTCAAGTACGACGCCATCACAGAACTCCCTCAGGACTTCGAGAATTTCTTCATCCAGATGCAGCGAAAGAGGAACGAAACGATGCAAGAGTACACAGCCAACTTCGAGCGACAGCTTCGACGCCTCGCTGCTCACGAAGTTCAACTCCCCGAGAAGGTGATTGGCTGGTACTACTTGCGACGTGCTGGTCTATCCCAACAGCAACGTCAGCTGATCATGAGCACGATCACAACCTCGACGCTGTCCCTCGACTCAGTGAGAAAGGCGGTGAACTTTGTCATCGGCCAAGATCAGACACCCGAAGGTGCTTCAGGAAGCCGAGACCACCGCTTTAACAAGATGAAGGACTCGATTTACACTGTGTCCGAGGACGCCTGGAGCTATGACCCCGAGCCCGATGACGCCTACTATACGAAGAAGAGTCTTGGGAGATTGGACCAGACGACTCTATGAGCCAAGCACCATGGATCGACGATGAGCCAATCCACCATGAGGCTGACGATGACATCCTTTTGGCAATGGACGCAGCTTCCGAGTATGATGACATCATGGCCAACTATGTGGAGGCCAGATCCAAGCTGAATCAGCTTCGAGTCAGCCGAGGTTACTACCCCGTTGTCGCCATGATCCCCGACCAGAAGGGCTATGTGGGAGGTGCTGGCAAAGGAAAAGGCAAGAAGGGTAAGTCCAAGGGAAAGAGCAAGCAGCAACCACGGCCATCAGCCAAAGCGCGAGGAAAAGCTGCCCTCGGAGCTATCAAATGTCTTCGATGTGGCCGTGCTGGTCACATGGCAGCGAACTGCCCAGCATCTCAGAACAAGCGCAAGGCTGAGGCAGATCCTGAGAGCGAGATCCACATGATCATAGACTCCAACATCGAGGAGGTGAACATCTTCGATGAGGATGGAACAGAGTCGGAGCCCGATGACACTGCCATGTTTGACTGTGGAGCTGCATCGGTCATCATCGGCATGCAGCAACTTCGCCGGCTGATGAAAGCATTGCTGATGAAAGGCTGCGACATTGCAGCCATTCCTGCATGGAAGTGTGAGAAGGGATTGCGCTTCGGCAATGGCAACCGCGATGTCACGACCCTCTGTGTCCTGGTGCCAACCTTCTTCAAGAACAAAAGGAGGGACATCCTGATGTATGTCATGGAAGGCTCAACTCCATGCCTGCTGGGCAGGCCAGCTTTGGAAAGCTTCAACATCACCATCAACTATGCAAGATCATCGCGTACGACGATGACCTGAAGTTTGAGCCAGCAACCATGGGACAGAAGGGCGAGTTCATCGTGCACTTGGTGGAGGACTACCACCTGGTGAAGGAGAAGAAAGTGGCTGACCAAGTCTTTGCGCCCGAGGATTTTGACACCCACATCTTCGAGCAAGTGCCACTTCACTCCGTCTTGCAAGTGCCCGCAGATGCTTTCATGGAAACTGAGGTGAGCATCATTGCGGAGAATTCAGTGCCAGAGACAACGCCTGACCTCACCGAGATGGAGACCAGTCCCGCACAGAAGACTGGAGAGCAGCGCGATGTCTTGGACAATGAGGAATTGGACAAGCTTCACCCTGGACAGCTGAACAAGCTGTACTATGAGACGGTCAGTGCCATGAAGGAGTTGGACATGGACATCTACCGGGCCAAGGACCTGGAGAATTTCATGCCACCAAGGACCTACACCATCTGGGAGGTCTATGCTGGTGAAGGAAAAGTCACAAAAACGGCCAACCGTCGGGTGAATTGCACCGCCACAAGATTTTCTCGTGAAGATGGCTGGGACTTCTCACAAGCATCTCATCGACGAGCATTCTTCAAGAAACAGGAAGATGAGAAGCCGGATGCCATCCTCTACAGCCCCATGCGCAAGCTATGGTCGCAAATGCAGGAGCTCAACAAGGCAAAGAGTCCTGTGTATGTCTGGCCATGGTTGAGCATCCCTGGAATGCTACAAGTTGGCACACCCCTGCGTTCAACAGAATGGAGGGCTATGACACCCGCATCGACATGTGCGAGTATGGCCTGATCCTCCCCGACGACACTGGAACCATCAATCCAGTTCAGAAACCTACATGCCTGCGGACAACAAGTCCTATTGTGCATTACCTCATGTGGAAAGAGTGCAGCGGAGGTCACTGGCACACCCACCTCGAGGGCTATGCTTTGGGTCTTGGAGCACGGACAGTCCTTGCAGAGAACTACACGCAGACCTTCGCCACCGCCCTTGTGAATAGCATCGTTGCCCACAGGCGGAGTTCGTGAATGGGAAGTGCTCGGAGCTGGAGCAGTACTTCCAAAATATGGTCTGGGAGTTCGCCACAGACCAGGAGAGCCAGAAAGCCGTGAACACCCACAGAGTGATCACTGCAAGATGGGTGTTGACCTGGAAGCGACTCAATGAGGACAAGCCCGAAGAGCCACCCCGCTACAAGGCGAAGGCAAGACTCGTCCTACGAGGCTTTGAAGATCCTGACCTCCTGAACATCAAAACCGCAGCTCCAACAACAGGCCGCTTGGCAAGATTGTGTTTGCTGAGCATCGCCAACTGGAACCGTTGGGAGTTGATCTGCGGAGATGTGAAAGCAGCCTTTCTGTCTGGCAGTGGGTTCGACAGAGTGATCATTGTGAAGCTGCCGAAGGACTGCAATCCGCTGATCGGAGGTGACAAGATCGGACCTCAAGGGCACATCTACATGAAGCTGAAGAAATCAGCTTTTGGTCTCGCTGATGCACCACTGATGTGGTATCGAGAATCATCAAGCCGGTTGACATCCCGTGGATGGAAGAATCACCCCCTCGACCAGTGTTGTTTCATGATGTATGAGAAGGTGAAGGGAAAAGCAATCCTGATAGGAATGCTGGTGATCCACGTGGACGACATCTTGATCACTGGTGATCCCAACAACGACAAGTACAAGAAGGCGATCCAACACCTCCAGAGTGACTTCAACTTTGGCAAGTGGGAACGCCTGAGCATTGACCAGCCCCTCAAGTACTGTGGTGGACAGATCTATAAGACCAAGTATGGCATCGAGGTCTCCTACCACGACTACATGAGGAAGCTGTGCCCTATCACCGTGAACAAGGGACGGAAGCCCAGTGATGAGATGAGCCCAAGTGAGACAGGAAAATATCGTGCACTCATCGGAGCTCTACAATGGCCAAGTTCACAGGGCATGCCAATGTTAGCCGCATCAGTGTCATTGCAAGCTGGTGCAGTTCCCAAGGGTACAGTTCAGGATGTCAACGAGCTGAACAAGACCCTGAGATTTGGCAAGAGCCAAGGAGATGTGACGATCAAGTTCCTGGCCAAGGAGATTGATGAGAACAAGGGCACCATCAACAGTGTGGAGAACATGACCCTGGTCTGCTACGCAGACGCTGGCTTCGGAACCCGAAGGGATGGCTCATCACAAGGAGGTTTCATCATCATGGCCTGCGACAAAGCCGTTCACAATGGCATCAAGGTCCCGGCAAGCACTGTGGCTTGGAGATCCTTCAAGCTGCCCCGCGTGTGCAGAAGCAGCTTGGGTGCCGAATGCCAGGCAACAGCCACGGCATTGGAAGAGTTGCTCATGGCCAAGACCTTCCTCGAAGCACTGAAGAAGCCGGACTGCGACCTCAAGAACTTCAATCATCACTTGACAGGCGTGAGCGCCATGGTGACGGACTGCAAGGCCCTCTATGATGCAGTCTACAGAGAGACCATCCAACAGGCAACAGATAAAAGAGTTGCCATAGAAGGGCTTGTGATAAAGGAGACATTGAGAGACCTCAATTGCAGCTGGCGATGGGTCTCATCGGAGCGACAGCTAGCTGATGGGCTGACGAAGATCAGCGCCCGACAGGCCTTCACAGAAAGGTACAAGGGACACTACATCCAGCTGGTCGCCGACGAGTCCTACCAAGCAGCAAAGAAGAAGAGTCAGGAGGAGCGCCAAAAGACAGTTCAAGAGACAAGGAGGACATCCTCGAAGGTGGTAGAGGCGCTTATTGGGATGGTGATGGCATCTCAAGTGACCAGCGCAAGTGGACGAGAGGATCAATGCAAGACTGACATTGACCACGTGTCCATCAACATCGACCTCTTTGACCTGGCCACGATCCTGCTGATCATGCTGATGACCCTGGCGATCTTTGTGATGGCTTGGAGGTGCAAGCCAAAGAGAAAGAAGGCCGAGCCGGCCGACAAGAGTGAAGAAGAACCTGTACCAGAGTTGGAGCCGATTGATCACGGCGAGGAGGACGACGTGATGGGCAACATTGTGAACGAGCTGGTGGAGAAGAATGAGAGTCTACAGGCACAGGTGAAGGAGTTGGAGAGGAAAGTCTCCTATCTGTCAGCGCTTTTGCAAAAGCGTGAGAAGAAAGAGACTGGACTGGCGACCTACAGCCACATGCCGGAAGAGGTCTTCACGACCCCAACAGGTGCTTGCGCGCACCTGCGAGACAACTGTGGCCACCTTGGTGTAAGCAAGCACGCCAAGCGATGGCGAGTGTGCAAGGACTGTGGGAGATGAAATGCTCCAGCCTTGCTTTTCACTTTTGCCCCAATGTGAAGTGTATCCATACACTTGGAGGCATGTTCATGCACTTAACCAAACCCGCAGCGGCGGGCTGCTCGAGCGCGGAAAAGAGTCAGCGGCTACGCCATCCTAGCCCCCACACAAGTGTGTGGGATCGGTCGACCTTCGATCGTTAGCCATAGCGGTTTAGACTTCGTGTGCTACAACCTTGACTACCTGTTGTTACCATATATGGTTCATATTAACATATATATATGTACTAGTTCTTCGTTCTAGTGTGGCTCAAAAGGGTCAATGTCCCACCGGTCGTGTTTGGACCTCCTTTTGGCGTTCCCGACGCCCCGCCACGGAAAGCACCGAGGCCCGGGCGGCCTTCACCCGCGCGGCCCGGTCGATCCTCGAGGAGCCTTCGGCCTTTTCCTGGGGTAGGTGGAGGGTGGATCCCCAAAAGAGCCAACGACTTCTCAAGAATCTTTGGATTTCACGAAAGGTCGATGTGGGTCGTTTTTCTTCTTTTTGTGTGTTTTGCGATTGGCCACATCGTGCGGAACCCACTTGTTTTTTTGTGGAGCCGACGCTGCCATGGCTACTGCCACTGCAATCGGGAGGGATACTCTGGACAAGGATGAGGAGAGGGGGCCCGAGTTGCTTGGACAAAACCATAGGGGATAGGTTCGCCCTACTTAGGAGCGTCCATGAGGTGTGGGTATACTGTTTTAAACTCTCATATATAACATCATGCTAACATTCATTTTTTGTATATAAACATGCAACTTTAGATTTTTCTGGATGCATGTATGTTCGTGTGGCTTCTACTAGGCCTCCCCTACGTTCACCCAAGCCAAAGCACTCCCATGGGAAGTTCAGAACCGAACTGCCAAGGCTGAAAGATGGCGCAGAGATCAAGCTAGCGGACGGCGGGCGATGGCGAATTGCAGCTCTTGGCATCGTACAACTTGTCTCTTCCACCTCACACGTATCCACTTCCAGAGAATCTGGGTACTTCAAAAGTGGATGAATTTGTGTCAGATTGGTGTCAGATTTGTTGGTTTCCCAAGCCTTGGTCATCAGACTTCAGATCAACCCTTTCCGGGACCTGTCGTCCATCCACTCGGGTCACTGGCCAGGAACTTGGTCTTCAAAGGGCATGGTGAATCAGCCCTACCATCGCATGCGACTCACCAGGAAGATGTTAAGAGATGGGACCTCCAGTCGTTCCCTAGGTGGCACCACTTGACCTCACTTCCCTTCCCCACTTTTTCTTCTGCAGTGTTACGGTGGGACGTATTTGCGACTACAGCCACTGCTGTTGATGGCTATCATGTGGCTCACGATTCAGAGTGTCCTTCTAGCGATCACAGGCCTGCTGCAACAATCGTTTGTCCAAGCAAATATGATGCCCCAAAACTCAGAAAGAATTTCAAGAAAGCTCTCCTCCTTGCAGGCCTGTGGCTGCAGCTGGGCCTTGCATTGGCATTGATTGTGGTCGTTTTGGTTTTGGCCTGGCCCCTGCGGAGCCTTGCTTGGATCGACTTTTGCAAGGGAGCCTACCGGCACCTCACCGACCCAGTCATGAAACTGCGAGTGAAGATCTACACCATTGTTTTTTCACTCTTGCCCTTTGGCCTCATCATGCCCATCTTTGGCCCTTGGGAGCGTGTGCAGAAGTGGGTGAGGTGGCACCCTTACAATCTTGATGCAGAGCTCCTCTGGCGTGGAACCTTCGCCACCTTCGCCTTGGCCTTCTTTCTGACGGCTGCGAACCCCAAGGCCTCGCGAAGACGGGATCCGTTCGAGGCAAAAAGGAAAGGCTCACATATGCTCACATGGATTTTAAGGGCTCCAGCTGCATCCGACAAGGTGATTTGGGTGGGGGGGCCTAATGACTCTACATGACGAGTGGTTTCCCATTGTCTAACTGGACTGGCTGTTCCCATATTCTAACTCGGGGTCCAATGAGTTGACTAGTAATTTTAGTTCCTAAATTTCAAGATTCCGTATATTCTAATTGCTAGTCCATGATAGTTAGTACACAATACAAACCTGCCCCAGGTGAACAACTCCATCGTAGCCTTCTTTGCGGCTCATGGTGTTTGCCACAGCGTGTCCATGTTCATTGACAATCGCATTTTTCCCATGGACGGCAACGACAATGTGGAGCACATACTGGAGATATCGGTCTTCCTGGTCATCGGCTTGTTCCACCTGTTTGTGGGACATATAGTTTGGTATTTGCACGAAGGGTAGCTGATGAGCAGGCTGCCCACTGTCAGCAGAGATTTGCAGAAGTCCTATGCAGTTTTCCTCCACCATTTTCTAATTAAGAGAACCTGAGATTTCGCGAGCATTGGGTTCAACCTAACCTCTTAAACTCTCAGCATACACAGATCCAGCATGCCCTGTGGCAAAATGTCACAGAAACGCCTGCTCAGCAAAGGTTGGGTGCTGGGGCCTCACCCTGGCTTACTTTGAAAGCAATCAGGGACAAATCAAAACACAACAATCAGAGCTCAGAAGTTGTTTGAACTGAGCCCTTTGCGCCCGCCTTTGCGCTGGCTTTTGCATCTTTTGCAAAGCTGGAGTCTATGAAAAGGAGCAAGTGATGGTTCAATAAGCATGCCAAGTCTGATGAGTTTCCGTTTGATTGAGTTAGTGGCAACAGTACAGCACCATGCTAGCAAGTTTCTGAACTTGGGTCGGAGCGACCGACGCTGCGTGAAGAAGTCACCAGGAGCACAGCAGTGAAGATTCTGCCTTCATTGAGAAATCGCAGTTCGAGAGCTGCAAGGAGAAGGCCCGTGGGCGCCTGTAGAGCTGCTGTGTCGGTAGGGATGTCGGGGACGTGATTCAACTCGGGGGGGATGCTTTACAGGAAGAGGCAGAGTGAACTGCTGCAGGGGCAGTATGAGGCAGTGACACTATATTGTAGTATATTGCAGTTGCATGATTGGAATGTGGGCGGAAGCAAAGTGCGTTTGAGGAGTTTTTGGCTGAAGATGAAAGTGCGACACTTTTGACACCGGCCTCCCTGCCAGCGAAAATGTCGAAGCACCAAAGACAGGACATGCCGAGATGGTTTGTCGTCCTGAAAATGACTCACCTCACCTGCAAAAGGTCATCTGAAGCGAACTCAGATACCCAATGGCCACCCCACAGGCTTCTTTTTGATTTTTGTTGGTATTGTTTGGCTTTAATGGGGTATGGCAGGCTTCCACTAGGCGTGTCATTTATGGTGTTAGGCGCTTCAAACATCATCAATGGCTTGGCACATGTTTGCACACTGCCCAACTTCACAAATATGTTCAAGACCATCTGAGGGTAGGGTGTGTCCAGTTCCCGGAATGGTGGGAAACACCATTCCGGGAACCGGACACCCGGAGCCCACCATCTGAGCTGGGAGATACTTTGACTGGATTTGCAACACACGCCATCCACGCCATCCACGCCCCGAGTTGATCCAGGCCCCAAGTCAACCGTCGAAAGACCGTTCCTTCCCGATCAGCGAGGTGCTGGCCATGTGCGAAACGGACTGCATGCATCTTCGAGACCAGGCCCGAAACGGTCGTACAAACGAACGCCGAGATGCTCGGCATGCCGTAACTCGATTGTTGTTCACAGGATTCACCATGATAATTGAAGATAGTTGAAGATGGTTTGAATCAAAGTCTATATTCTCGCTGTCCTGCAAGGTGACGAAGTGTTTTGGAGGAATCCATTTGGTTCTTCTGGTGTATGGGGGGCATTCCATCAGAGTTCTGCACCGTGGGTTCCCACTGTCACGGTCATTCCATCAGAGTCATCCGGATGTGCTACGATCGCTGAAGCGGCCACAGCCGGATATCGACAGATACAGAGGGAGTTTCCCGCGTGATGCGCAGGGGAGCAAACGCTTCTGCATATATCATATCGGTCAATGATTTGGCACGACGGATGAGTTTCTTCAGATTCAGCATCGTACTGTAACAAGTCCCTTTCCAAAAGATACCAAAAGATTGGTGTTGGCCCACGATGGACAAGTGTCAAATGTCGCAAGTGACCAGAAGAGATGCGATGAGGTTTGATTAGAGATGTACGTAAAACACATATCCAAATATCCGTGCTCAGAGATGGATCACAACCCTTAGGCGAAACAGGGAGGGAAGTGCACAGTTTGGTATGAGATATTATATGTAGTCCTAGGAGTTTCAATCCATTTCTACACATACCCTTGATAATCCCTGTAGTAGTATGTATATATATAGATGTATATAGTAGTAATGTTTGTTTAGTTTGTCATGCACCATCAACGGCATTGTTCATTTGCAAGCATTCTTGGTTCGGTCAAGGAGGACATATTATTCCGTGTAAATTTCCTCTGCATGTTGATCTGACTTTGGTGTTCTCCGTTTGCCTACATCCCAGAGCGCAATCATCCGGCCATTGAGGGGCCACTCGCCCAGAAAGGGGTCTCCAGTGGATGGGATGCATATGAATCCAACTTCCTCTTCAACACCGGAAAGGCTTTGGGACGACGTTTGGCATCCATCATATGCTCTATTCCATCGCTACTAGGAGCAAGGACGCTACTAGGGGCTCCTGGCATCGAGCATTCTTAGAGCATTCTTACTAGGAACAAGAGGGCGCATGTATGCGCATGTGCTCTATTCCTTGAAAAAAACACTGGGAGGACTTGAATGCCATTTTCGACCTGGTCGACTATGAGGACTCCAACATCGTGGAGATCGAGGAGACCGAGAGGAGGTAGAGGACAAGGTCCTAAGGGTCCCCGACCCAAAGCATCCGTGTGCACGCGCTCGCAGCAAAAAGGCGAACCGTCGTCGATGTTTGGAGGGCCAAGGCGTTTTCATAGCGACGTGCGTTTTTTTTTTTTTTTAAGGCAGGGCATGTGGAACGATGTTTGCGTTGATCATGGAAGGTTGATGTTGGAGCAAATAATTAGACCGCCCTGACAGCTCATCAAAGTTAAAGAAGAACATCCCAGACCCGTTTCAGTATCAATTGATAGCACCCGATGACACGCGTGTCATCGCGCACGCGCCCTCAGGAGCTCCTCTATGGGATGGTCCAGGTCTCCGCTGAGCTACGGCCCATGCGCGGAACTTGAGCTGCGAGGGTTCTCCTCGGGGTGTGGAGGGGTGAGGAGCGGAGACAAGGAGAGCATGTTGCTTGGAATGACGAAGCACTGAGAATGAGTGCCAGTTGCATGGAATGAGGGCCACCAAAAAACATTGTTGCTGTTGCCATGCTGTCTATAGGGGAAGTTTTTGTGAGGAATGAGGGATCGTTTACCCACGTCTAAGTCTAACAACCACCACAGTGCTTGGTGCTAGTGTGAATTCTATCATACTCGATCTATCCACTAAACATGGATGTTCAGAGACTCATGTTGGTACACGCAGATAACTTGATAACTTTCCAGGAAGCTGTGTTCCAATTCTATCCTTTTGTCATGGAGGGGACTGTAACCCAAATTTCACAGCCCACTTTGGGTTTGGGGCATGCGTCCTCCTCCTCCTCCTCCTCCTCCTCCTCCTGTCAGTTGTTTTTTTTGTTTTTGCTTCGTTGGAGGACCTGGTATGGTTTGTTCTTCCTACCACTTGGTCATGGAAGACTTGCGTCGTTGGTTTCGCTGCATTGATCATGGTTTGATCCATCGATCATCGATCACTGAGGTCCATCTTGGAGCTAAAGAGATCCTTTGCCTCTCGGAGCAGCGAACGCGGACTGTCACGCGGACCGCAAAACGATCCCGGCACCTGCCGATCCCGGCACGTGCCGGTTGACCCGTGCCGGAACATTCCGCCTTCCGGGGAAAACCATGGGGTTTGCTGCGAAGAGCCCTCCTGCCTTGCAGAAGTTGAGCCGTGTTGCTCAACTGCGTGGCTGAGGGTTGCCCTCAAGGAGCGATGGCCTTCTCAAGAGGACCAGCATCGACCATACCAGTTTGTGAGCCAGTGCTGCCTTTCATAAGAGGGGAGTCTCTTTTGATATGTATATGTTTTATTATGCTTTGCTATATTGAACTATATTGATACTCAGATAGGATAGTCCAGGATGCACAGAAGTCAAAACTGGTAGAAGTTTACAGTTTCATTTTGTTTCATCGTCAGTAAACTCCACCCTGGACCAGAAATACTCCAGGGGTATGAGGTTTGCAAGGTTTTTCTGTGCCGAGCTATTACACGTAGACCTGTTGCAGATTAGTGGTCCATAGAATGAAAGACCAACCTTTGCCACTAGAAACTGCAATTCTGCCAGAATCGAATCGCCCCGACAGGGCCCGGTGCCCCCCACATGATCCCAGATGCAACACACTCACTTGAGCTCTCCCGCTTGTGAAAAGAATAGATTGTTCTTATGTTGTTCTATTTTTTTCAGAAAAGTCCCCCCTGACTAATCCTAATTCATGATCGATTCTGATCATAGCGCAAGTGCCACCCACTCCCAACCCCTTTCCACTCATCGGATCCCGGAACGATGGAGCTCCATTTGAGCGGCTCCATTTGAGGCTCGGGGGCTCAATGCTGTCGCACAGCAGGCGGGGCACCTGGTGTGGGACGAGAGCCCTTCGATGGGCTGTCAATGTGGAGAAGGTTTTCTCGCTTTCGACTTGGGAGCTGCAAGTCCTGTGTCCTTTGTTAAAGACATGTTACTTTTGAAGTGGAAAGAGATGGAAAGAGTAATCTTTGTTGTGTGATGATTTTCCTCATTGTGTCTTTTCCCTTTTGTTCCTGGTCTATAGATTCAATAGGAAATGGGTAGATGAACAGACCCAATCACTCCGTATCACCCCCCCCGCGTCGTCCTGCCCTTGTGGGACACCTGCCGGCGCACCTTGCGCGACTCCGAGGTCAGTGCACTTGACACGCGGCTCCAGATGATGGATGCGCGACTGCAACAGGCGATCCGCCATGAGAAGCCGTAAGACGCCGCCGTGCTGAGGGGTTCCGTGGAGTCCGGGCCGTGATCAACGGCCTGAGGTTTTCCAATTAGGGTGGTGGTTTGGGGGGTCAATGTAGGCATATTATATGGCAGTCCCATGGAGTGTATGGGATATGATGCGAGTTCATTGGACAACGCTTTGAAGAAACGACCCAACATCGACCCTCTCCGACACCCATGGACTTAGACATACGTACGGAGACCGTCCACGAAGTTCTGCCGTAGCGCAGGACCCTGGAGCCCGCGTCGGCTCCGACGTCTTCAGATCGACGGTGGATGAAAGAAAAGCCCCTGCAGTTGGACTATAAAACTTGTATAAATGAGGGCACCGCCTCAACTCGGCCGTGCGAGCTCGTGGTTCTGGCGAGGTTCTGGCGAAGCCAAAATCTGACGCAAACGTGGTGCATTGAGAGGCGACCGGAGGGCAGTGGGTTGGAGCGGCTGTGGCTGTGGGGTCCTTTCAGGCATTGGCATGGAGGTGGCTGCTTCAGGCGGTTTGTGATAAGGGATGATGTCCACCTAGTGACGACTCACCTGGCACTTTAATGACCATGATCATTCATTATGGTTTGACAGAGAACTCAGTAAGTATCCCAATGGCAGTTGACGGATGACTTCCCCACACAAATGACTCGACTCAAGAAGCACAGGCGTTTGCAAGGCGTGTTTCAATCAGATCGATTTGTGTCATGAAGCCATTCTTGATCATTCTTGGGGTTCAGCAACCTTTCTAGAGGCGTTAGTACTGAGCTCTACTTTTTGCCCTAGCCTTCCAAGACCATGTAAACAAAAATGGTGGACCTGGTGTTGTAGTTGTTCAGTAAAGACATGTAAAGACTAGTGTATAGACTATAATTAATATTAATATGTATATATATGTATGTCTAACTTTTTTTGTGGTTGGAATCCTGGCCACGTTATATTATTGGTTCTTTTTCCATCTAATTTCCACTCTGGTGTATGCTGTGTCACTTTTGGCTGGAGAGGAAGATTCACCATCGATCCCTTTGCTTGGTCCACCAGATCAGTTGGGTCTGATTTTTTCGTTGGTCGACAGTTTTTTCAAAGGCTGGGTCGACAGGTCATCCTTGCTGAGATTCATGCGTTTGTGTAACCTTGATATACTTACTTATATAGCAAGGACATTCATGCATCGAAATTTAGCATATTTATACTGATTTGCATGTAATTATGGCTATTGAATTGATTGACTTTGTCAATGTCCGTCATGTTGATCATCACTCTTCATCACTTGAGCGTTTTTGCTTTAATTATCTTTAATTCCTTCTTTGGCAGGCGGCTCGTGACGAGAAACCCAGCACCCCTGGGCTTGCGCGTGGCGAGTGACTTTGACCGTCCGGGGTTGCTCTAAAGTCAGCGACCAAAAGCAACGGTCAAGGGAAATCCATCCAAATCCGTTGAATCACTTTGTTCCATGCATTTTGATAACTGCCCCTTTGACAGAATCGAAAGCAAACACTGTCCCCATCAGCGGGTGTCCAACTCTGCACATGCAAAAGTTGGTGTTTCTCGGTTCCTTGAGATATTTGAGCCCAGTGCTTTTCTTGGGCTGAAGGGTCCAAGCAGGAGCAATCCCCGGACTTCAGACTCTGTTAACGCTCGCGACCAAAAGACTGGCAGCGACTTGCAGCGCGATGCGTGCGCCGTGAAAACCGTCCGGTGTGCTGTTTGTGGATGCCTTTGAAGGATCAGCTCTAGACTCTAGACGTCCACGAGTCCATACACTTTCAAACATTTTCAAGCGTGGAATTTCTGCATCTTGCGTATCCAGCCAATCCAGAGCCCTACTGCTTTGTCCCCTTACTTCGCTCTCTGCAGATGGCCAGTAAGACGGCCAGGTTACGACGGCCAGTAAGACGGGCATGTTGCAATGCTGTAGGAGGTCGAGTGCCTTCTGAATCAGGCTTGGGTTGAGTGTGCTAAATTCGTTGCATTCGTTGCGTATTTTGTCAAGCCCTTCTCGATTGCTGCCATGTAGCTACACAGAGGTCTTGCACAGGTCTTGCACAGAAGACAGGACAGGTCTGTTGGTACCCCCAATGAACTTGCTGCCGGTCAATGTTGTTTGCGATGAAGCGACAGGCTGTTCGCTAAGCGACCGGACTCTGGATGTCTCATGAAGCAATTGCAATCGTTGTCTAGAGTCGTTCCAGTAGAGGAGCTCGGTCAGAAGGATCCCAGCGTTATTCAACCCTTGTCATTGCTGCGTGTGAAAGCTTTCGGGTGTGTGAAAGCAGTATATAAGTGGCATCACCGTCTTGCACAAATCCGTACGACTTCGAAGTGTTTGCGCAACAAAAGGTGCCCTATGTCCTACGGCCTACGTCTGCAGCGCGAGGGAAGGCATGTTTGGTGCCCATGGTGTATGGTAGTACGAAAGTATGATATCATGTCGTGATATCCCTGAAACCAGTTGTTTGATGCTTGTTTTCGCTGGTTTCAATCATGGTGCCTGGATGTGGCTGGAAGAAGCCACCGCTCCACTGCCCTTCCACCCTGCATTGCCGCCGGCGCTTCGCCCGTTTGCGTGGCAGCGCAGCTCCCTGCGCACACCCTCCGGTCGATGTTAGTTCGTCTTCTGGAAACGAGCGTCGGACCACCCCAGACCACCCAGCCCAGCACAGCGCCATCCGTCCACATTCGGCGACGGCCACCCTGTTCGTCCAACGACTGCGTGCACATCGGTTTCCACCGTCCCTACATACGACATCGTTCACTCTGGGCCCCTTGGAGGAACTGTGATTTGGCTGGCACATCCTTCCCAGTGATGATTCGGAAACTATCACTCTGGGTGATTTCGTCAAATGGGAACTTCCCAGGCCAGAGGAGCTCCAGGAGAGGCTGGCGGCACTATGTCGGCCTCACATGTCCCCCCTCCGGATGGCACAGTTGCCCGTGGCGCTGTGGGCCAGACGGCGGGGGATGCTGCCATGGAACTTGCGGCAGCCTCGGTGGCAGCGGCGGCTCCTACCTCCTCAAGTTCCTGATTGCAACCTCCTGTGCGCCAGCAGACGGGGAGTTGACCGAACGCATTGTCGCCATGAGCCAAGCCCCGGCTTGTGCAAATCAAGCAAGCCACCAATCACCGAGTTCGTGTTTCGACGGCCTGTGGAACGGGCCAGGAGGGGCCCCGCCCCCACAGCGACTGGAAACCCAACTTTGAGGTGGGCTGCATTGCGAGGTGCGATGACCTGCAGCGCGCCTGCCCGATCCCGGGAGGTGGCTTTTCAGACGTTGGAGATGACTCATGACGGCCTGGCCAACCAAGACGGGTTCTGCGTTTCTGCGTTTCTGCCCTGTTTTCTTGATCGTCCCGAAGTATCATTGTTCTACCATCGGCCCCCAACAAGGCGGCGACTGGCAAACGGAGTCCACGGCGGATCTTTGTACCAGGGAGAAACGCAATGTGGTGACCAAAATTTGGTGAGAGGTCGCCCTGAACATCCCCAAACTCCAGCTGGCGGGCACCCAAAGCAGGCGTGAAGATTCCCATCCGGACTGTGATCGTTAAACCAATAATTGCGATGGAACCCGATGAGCATGTGCGGTGACCTCTTGACCTGGAATTGGTGCGGTCGGCGGCCCATTCTATGGCGGGCTCCCGAAACCGGAGCGGGACCTCGGAGGATGTTCCACCAAGGAGGCCACGCAGGCAGACATCCCGGGCTCTGAAACTGCAGTGGCTTTATCCTCGGCGAAAGGGGCGTGTTGCCTTCCGAAAGGCAAGAGGCAGAAGGTTTCCAATGAGCACGTCTCCTTCCAGTCGCGTTAGCCCCTTTTGAAATAATACTTGTAATAATAATATTCATAGTACAAAATATTACGATTCCATCCGTGGTGTCCAACACGAAAAGCTGCTCTGACCAAGCCGCGGGCGGGGGCCCGAAGCCTCGCAGATCCAGGACTTGCAGTGGACGGACTTTCAAGAAGACCGTTCCTTACGCAACCTTTGCGCACGGAGCAATCCGGGTCGGCCACCACCTTGCGAGGTACCCGACGTGAGTCGGATGTGGTGGCGTTTCTGGATACCATCCCCGCGTGCCCCTACAAAAGGCTGGCGCCTGACAGCAGGACCAGAGGGGAAGATATATTTCCCTAGCCAACAAAAACAAGAAAAATTCAATCCAATTTTGTGTTGGAAGTCACTCCGGCACTTGGAGGCGAGAATGTCTGGACGACTCATGGTGGAGCAGCCTTCAGCCGTTGAATTCGCAAATTTGTTGGCACACATTTGCACAGGAAATTCCCAGCCGCCTGACAAACCGGAAGCTTTGCTGGAACCTTCTTGGGCTTTTGTAACTCGGTGATTTGCAATGTGCAACCAAACAGTTAAAGGCAAACAGAAGTGGAGATGATATTGGATTGGTAGCCGAACTGTTACAATACATTCCCGACGATTTGCTGGAGGATTTGCTGGTGCTTTACAACGGTGTTTTGAGAGAAGGGTGCGTGCCACACAGTTGGGATGTTATTTTTCCCGAAAGCATTGCGAAGGGCTCTTCCGGAAAATCCCTTGAACACTGACACTTCGACACTTACACTTACACACTGACACTTCCACCACACTTGCACTACAACATGACGCTATACGTACCCCAGTGTAAGCGGAAGAGGGAAAGCATCCAAGAAGTATGCAAGTGTAAGTATGCAAGTGATGGGTATGCAAGCATGCAATGAGTATATGCAAGCATGCAAATGAGTAGGCAAGTGTGAATATGGAAAACTAGCACGGGAGATGTCCTAATGAAAAAACATTTCCCCACTTTATAAATTCCCTCTTAAAGGCGGAGGGTGGGACGAACAGCGTCAACCGAAAGTGCAACCCTCTGCGGAGATCTCGACACGCACGTCGAGTGCGCGAAATGCAGGCGAGAGTGCGATTTGTCCGGTCCGCGCGCAACCCTCTGCGGAGATCGTGCGTGTCGAGTGCGCGAAATGCAGGCGAGAGTGCGATGCGCCGGGCACAGCCCTCTGCGGAGATCGTGCGCTTCGAGTGCGCGAAATGCAGGCGAGAGTGCGATGCGCCGGGTCCGCGCGCAACCCTCTGCGGAGATCGTGCGTGTCGAGTGCACGAAATGCAGGCGAGAGTGCGATTTGCCGGCTGCGCGCGCAACCCTTTGCGGAGATCGTGCGGGTCGAGTGCGCGAAATGCGGGCGAGAGTGCGATTTGCCGGCTGCGCGCGCAACCCTCTGCGGAGATCGTGCGTGTCGAGTGCGCGAAATGCAGGCGAGAGCGCGATGGGGTATGTGCTCGCGCAACCCTCTGCGGAGATCGTGCGTGTCGAGTGCGCGAAACGCAGGCGAGAGATCAGTGATGGTATTGAGCCTACAGAATCGTGGGGGTTAACCCTCCTACAGAATGCACATTTGGTAGTAAAGGGGATTGGTCGCACGACCCCTGTGGTTGGGATGCCAGCATTTTGTAGGCAGCACGAGGGCTGGGTGTACTTATTCAATAGGGAAAAGAGAGTGCACGACTTGTGGGTTGGGCGTACTTATTTGGTAGGGGAGGTAACAACAATCCTGCGTCCGGAGATCTAGCCTAGGCAGGGGGCTGAAAGGGCAAAGGTGGAGGGCGGAGAGGCATCTTTGATAGGCAGGATGTGGTGGAACTTGGTGGATGTGACTGGGTCTGGCTGGTGCACCTGCTGGTGTGGGACAGGCCTACTGTACAAAATCAGAGGCACAATCCCAGGCATCTGCTTCAGTGTCGGCTTCTGCTGATGATGGGGTCTGCACGTGTTGTGCTTCGTCGGCCCTATCCTCAGGGTTTTTTTTTCTCCTGGCATAGCGGCATACCTGTCTCTTCCCGTTCTCGTGCTGCAGTCTCGGGGCCACCCGATCTGACATCGATGGCAGGGGCAGGGCTTTGCTGCGGCCAGTAACAGCCTGCTTGCAGAAGTTCAGGTTGGGGGGGAAGGTGTAAGTCAGATCCCCTGGTGCCAAGCTCTGGTTGGCTCCTCCATGCGTCATAAGCGTAAATCTTGTGCAGAGCTTCGGATTGGTATTTTTTTGCCTTATGTGCGGCATCGGCTTCTTGCCCTGGTGGGTATCGACTAGTGCTTTCTACGCTAAAGCGAGCCCCCCCTCACCAGCATAGTGGAGAAGTCGCCAGGCATTGGGCTGCGCGCTGTCAGGGCCCATCGGGCCCCCCCCATTTTGTAGAGTAGGGAAGGTGGCCAGTGGTGATCAAGACTAGGTCTGTGGCTCAAAGGGCAAAGGTGGAGGGTGGAGGGGCATCTTTGATAGACAGGATGTGACTGGGTCTTGCTGGTGTGTTTGCTTTGTGGGACAGGCCTGCTGTACAAAATCAGAGACGCAAGCCCAAGGGTTGGGCCACTCCATTTTGTAGAGTAGGGAAGGTGGCCAGTGGTGACCAAGACGAGGCAGGTGGCTCAAAGGGCAAAGGTGGAGGAGGGTGGAGGGGTAGCTTTGACAGGTAGGATGTGGTGGAACTTGGTGGTTGTGACTGGTCTTGCTGGTGTGTCTGCTTGTGTGGGACAGGCCTACTGTACAAAATCAGGCACACAAACCCAAGGGTTGGGTGAGCCCCTCCATTTTGTAGAGTAGGGAAGGTTGCCATGGGTGCAGAATGGTGCAGATGACATGTCCTGAAGGATCCTTCAGAGAGAGAGAGAGAAAGAGAGATATATATACACAAATATACTCACAAATATATATATATATATACAATTAAGATATATACATTTTGGCTCAAGCCATTTTGGCTCAAGTCATTTTGGCTCAAGGCTCCTTGTTCCGCGCGCCTCCTCCCGCCCCCCGCCCCGGCCGTGCTCATGCTACCCGTGACCGTCGTGTGGAACGCCGCCACATGGCTTGTGCACCTCGGCCGCGAAGCCGTCCCCGCGGTCGCCCAACTGCCGGGCGAGTGCCGGACCGCGGCGGCCCATGCGGCCCTGGTGTGCGTGGGGGCCTCCCCCACACACTTTCCACCCGGCTGCGCGCCCTTCTCTGCCTGCTGGGCCTGGTTCTTGGCGGGCGCCCTTTGTGGAGTCGTGGGGCCGCTCCTGTTGCTGGTCGTGGGCGCTTCGTGGCGCCCCCGCCCGCCTTGGCTCACCGCCGCGCACGAAGTCCTCGCCTGTGCCTCCGCCGGCGGCACCGCCGAACTCAGGGCCTTGGCGGCCCAAGCGGGCCTCCCCACCGACGAGCTCCTCCTCCGCCTTCTCCACGAGGCGGTCGGGCCGCGCGCCCCCTCACCCGGCGCCCGCGCAGCGCCCCGCCTCCCCGACGCGCCGCGCCGCCGCCGAGCTCACCGCGAATCCTGACGCCGTCCTCCTTCGCCAAGCTGAGCGCATGGGTCGATGGACGACGTGGGACCGGACGCGCGCGCGCTGGGCGACTGCGCTGGTACCTCTGCAGCCGTTTTCCGACCTTGCCTGTCTCGCCGCCGGCCCCCGCTCCGCCGCCGCCGCCATGGCCACCTGCCCCTGCTGCAAGACGCGGCCCGCCCTTGGCGAGGGCGGCCCTTGCGTCCTGTGCGATGAGGTGCGGCGGCTGCAAAGCCTGGTGGTCTCCGCGGCGCTGCCCGCCTGGACTGCCCGCCCGGTCGCTGGCCTGCTGGAGGGCGTCGCCGACGCCATCGAAGCCTTGGCGCGCGGCCCGCCGCCGAGCCCCCGCAGCCGCAGCCGCACCCGGTCGCCGCGGCGCAGCCAGAGCCCGCCCGCGCGACCGGGCGGGCATCAGAACCGCAAGGGCAAGGGCAAAGGGAAAGGACCTGGCCACGGCCGTCGCCGGGGGCCACCACCTGCTGCCGCGGCTGACGATGTGGTGCTGCGGGCGGCGCAAGCTGCTGCCGCCGCCGCCGCGGCTGCCGCGCTGCGGACAGGCCGCGGCCGCTGATGCTGAGCCAGCCAGCCCCGCCCGTTTTTTTGCACCGCCGCGGGGGCGTCAAAAAGAGCGCCTTCCAGCTTGGACAGCCCGGACTCGTTTTTGCGTAGGCGCGCCGACCGCCGTTACGCGCCCCACGCATGCATGGGCGGGCGTCCGAGTAGGAGAAGCTTCCCACCCCGGCCCCCCGGCGCCTGCCACCGAGCGACGCGAGCGCGCCTTGTCCGAACTCCGCCGAGCGGGCTTGGTCCCCCACCCAGCGCCACCGTCCCGGCGACCCGAGTCCCCTGACTTCCACACCCCGCGTGGCGGGCCGGATCACTGCCGGCCTGCCCTCTGGGTGACACAGGGGCCGCCAGACCCTCTCCCACTCCAGACTGCTCCTCGCTCCTGGGTCTACGTGCCTTTGCTGCACGATGCGGCCGGGGCGTCTTCCGACGCAGCGCAGGCCGCCTGGCGCGCGCATGCCGCCTTCGGTCCGGTATGGGGACAGTGGGTGGGCGCCCTCCGCGCTGCCTGCCCCCAACCCTTGACTAGCCTCCACGCGGCGGTCCTTGTGCACAGTGCTGCTGAGGGCCGGCCGTTCGTGTGGCCGGAGCGGCCATTTCGCGGCCTCCAGGGCGACTCCCTTTGCACCCTCGCGTTCGCGGTCGAAGCCCTCGCCCGGGCGGATGGCTACTTGGCCCCTGCGGTTCAAGAGGCACTGTTGTGCGTCTATGGCGGTGACCGCCTGGCGTCCGAGATCGCCGAGGGCGCGCGCCACCTTTGCGCGCCTCCCGCCCCGGTGCCTCCCACGGACCGTGGAGCGGCCCCTGCCCCTGAGGCGGATGTTCTCAGCGAGGTCGCCGCCGCCGCGGCCCCCCGGCGCCGCGCCCGCCGCCCTCGGGCCCGCGCTCCGCGCACCAGTCCTCCACCCCCACGCCCCGACTCGCGCGCTGACGCCCTTTGGGCGACACGCGACCTCGCGGATGAGTTCCAGCGGCGCGTTTACACCTTGCAAGCGCCCCCGCCTTTCCTTCGAGGGGCGCTTCGCGCCGCGCTGCATGCAGGGCTCGCCCGAATACGGGACGACCCTGACTCCCCGGCCGGCTGGGGCCTGTTCCTCCTCGCGCCCCGCATGCTGCTCTTCCGTCGTCGTGGCGAGACCCGTGTCGCCCGCGACGCCTTGGAGGAACGGGCAGCACTCCTCGCGCGCGGTGCCTACGCCGACCTCCTAGACCAGGCTGCCGCCGCTGCCGCCTTGGCCCCCGTGGCCAGCCCTGCACCACGAGGTGACTGCCTGGAGAGGCGGGCTGCGCGGGCTGCTGCCCTGGCCCACATGGGTGAACTGTCCGCCGCGGCCGCCGCGCTCACCGCTCCAGCCCTCGCGCCGGCCACTGCAGCGACCCTTGCCGAGCTCCGCGACCCTGCCCGGCGGCCACCCAGCCCTCAGGTCCCGCTGCCGGCCCCGCCCGCGCTCGGACGCGAGACGGCGGGCTTTGGTGTCGACCACGCTCGGCTCCTTGCCAACCTCCGCCGCGGTCGCCGCGGTGCTGCCCCGGGCCTTTCTGGCTGCACGCCAGAGCACCTCCGCGTCCTGCTGGACGACGCGGAGTCTCTCGACCTGCTGTGCTTTGCCGCCGACCGCTTGGCCCGGGCCGAGGTGCCCCCCGAGGCCCTCGCGGCCCTGCGCCTGGGGCGCTTGGTCGCCCTCCAAAAGCCGGCGGGCGGCGTCCGCGGTCTTGTTATGGGGGATGCATTTCGCCGGTTGGTGGCCAAAACGCTGGCCCAGCAGTTTGCCGGCCGGTTCGCGGAGGTGTGCGCGCCTTTCCAGTATGCCCTGGCCGCGCGCGCGGGCACGGAGTCCCTCGCCCGCGCCGTCCGGCTGGCCACTGAGTTGGACCCCCGCACCACGGTCCTGAGCATCGATGGGGTTGGGGCCTACGACCACATCTCGCGTGCTAGCATGTTCCTCGGCTTGCGGGATGCCCGGGTCGCGCCCCTCCTCCCCTTCGTGTCCCAGTTCTACGGCGCCCCTAGCCGCTATACCTTCTACGACGAGCACGGTGCGCCCCACGATGTCTGGCAGGGAGAGGGGGGCGAGCAGGGGGACCCTTTGATGCCCGCCCTCTACGCCGTGGGCCAGCACGCCGCCCTCCTCGAGGCCCACTCTGCCCTGCAGCCCGGGGAACACCTCTACGCCTACTTGGACGATGTGTACGCTACTTGCGCCCCCGATCGGGTGGGCGCCGTATTCGGCGCGCTCCGGGCCGCCTTACGCGACCGCGCCAATGTGCATGTGCACTTGGGCAAAACCCGGGCCTGGAACGCCGCCGGTGAAGAGCCCACCGCGCTCTTGGATGCGCTGCCTCCTGACGCCCGGCCCACTGCCTGGGCTGGCAATTGGGCTCAGCCACCCGATGCCCAGGGCCTCGTCGTGCTGGGCACCCCCCTTGGCAGCCCCGCGTTCGTGGCCAGCCACTTGCACGACGTGCGCGCCCGCCACGATCTGCTCCTGGACCGGGTCCCAACGGTCCCCTGCTTGCAGTCGGCGTGGCTGCTCCTCCTCCTTTGCAGCCTCCCCCGCTGCAACTACCTGCTGCGCGCCCTGCCGCCGGCAGACACGGGCGCGTTTGCCGCGGGGCACGACGCCGCCGTGCTGCAGTGCCTCACTCGGCTGCTCGGGGCACCAGCGAGCGCCCCCTCCGCCCTGGCCCCAGGCCCTGTCTCCCAGGCCCAGCTCCCCCTGCATATGGGGGGGCTGGGGCTGCGCTCCGCCCTGGCGACGCGCAGCGCCGCGCACTGGGCCTCTTGGGCCGACTCGCTCCCCGTGATCGGCGCGCGGCACCCCCTCCTCCTCGCGCGGGTCCTCCCCGAGTTGGCCGCCGAGCTTGGGGCACCGGGCCTGCCCGGCACGCAAGCCGCCCGCCTGGCCGCGGCCGCGCTGCACACCCCTGGATGGGCGCCGCCATCATGGGTCGCGCTCGCGAGTGGCCTGGATTCCGGAGCCGGCGCTAGTTTCGGCGACCCCACCCGCGGTTGGCAGCGCGCCGCCACCGCCGCCTTGGACAGACAAGCCCTTGAGGTGCACTTCTCTGTGCTCGATCCTGCATCTCGGGCCCTGCTTCTGTCCCAAGGCGGCGCAGGCGGCGCGGCGGCCTTGACGGTGCTCCCGTCGCGACCTGAGTACCGTCTGCCAGCCGAGCAGTTCCGGGTGCTGCTTCTGCGCCGCTTACGTTTGCCGCTGCCGCCAACGCCGCGGCTCTGCCGCTGTGGCGGTGCCTTGGATCCACTCGGTGACCACCGCGCCGCTTGCCCCACCGCGGGGGTGCTCGTGCGCCGCGCGGCCGCCCTCGAGCGCGCCGCCGCCGCGATCTGTCGTGAGGCCGGTGCGCGTGTCGCCACCAATGTCTTCCTCCGGGACCTCAACATTGGCACACCCCTCACCGACGGGCGCCGCCTTGAGGTCGTCGCTAACGGCCTCCCCGGGCATCAGGGTGCGCAGGTCGCCGTCGACGTGACCCTGGTTTCGCCGGTCGCCAGGGATGGCACGGCCCGTGCCCGCTGCGCCGCCGAGCCTGGGGCCGCCGCAGCCGACGCCGCTGCGCGCAAGCGCCGCGAGACTTACCCCGAATTTGCTCAGGCTCCCCGCGCCCGGCTCGCCGTCCTCGCCCTTGAGACCGGCGGCCGGCGGGGTGACGACTGTGAGCACTTCCTCCGGGTCCTCGCGGCCGGTCGTGCGCAAGCGGCCCCACCGTGGCAGCGTCCCGGCCTTCGCGCCGCCCTGCACCATCGCTGGGGGAGCCTCCTCTCCCTGGCGGCGCAGGGCAGCCTGGCCACCACGCTGCTGGAACTTCCGGAGTAGGGGGGCGGCGCGCCGCCCGCCCCCGCCGTCCTGGCTGACCTCACGCAGGACGCGCGCTTGCTCCAGTGTACATAGTTCCCGGACCGGCTTCCCGTCTCACCTCGTCGCCGCTGCTCCGGATGCGAGAAAAAAAATAATAATATATATATATATTTATATAGTTGATTAATTACTTAATGTATAATAAGTCAATAAGTGTATACAGAAGATTGCAGAAGTGTGATGTTTTTATTGACCCTGCATTCCGGGGACTTGGCGGAATCAGCCACCAAAAGTACCTGGCGGCTGGCGGAATCAGCCACCTAAAGTATCCGTCTGAATTAGTCAGCCAGCCACCTGTCGGCGGAATCAGCCAGCCAGCCAGCCAGCAACTTCTCAAAGTATCCGGTGGAGTCAGCCAACCAGCCAGCAAAGTATCCGGCGGAACCAGCCAGCCAGCCACAAATCAAAGTATAGCCATTAAGCCTAGGCTTCGTGGGGAGTATAGCCATTTGACACGCATCCAAAAGCGCGTCAAAAAAGACAATCTTGACTATTCTTGACTTTTGTTGATGATTTTCATGCGCATTCATCTTCACTACCGAATGAGTAGGCCTTGCCAGACCGCGTCCCATTTTGTACCAATCAGTGACCTTGGCCCCCTCCTTTTTGTACAATTGGCCTATCACCTCCCTACAAAAAGAGTCCATTTTTTGGAGTCATTTTGTAGAGATGGGACGTTGGCCGCTGACATTTTGTAGTGATTTTTACTACCAAATAGGGACCCCGACCCCTCACCCTAAATATCAAGGGGGATGGTGAGAGTGCGATTTACCGGCTGCTCGCGCAACCCTCTGCGGAGATCGTGCGTGTTGACTGCGCGAAATGCTGGCGAGAGTGCGATTGAGTCTGTGCGCGCGCAACCCTCTGCGGAGATCGTGCGTGTCGAGTGCGCGAAACGCAGGCGAGAGCGCCATGGGGTGTGTGCGCGCGCAACCCTCTGCGGAGATCGGGCGTGTCGAGCGCGCGAAAGGCAGGCGAGAGGTGTACTTTGTAGTATAACTTTAGTACGTGGAGTATCTAGGGAGCTGGAAGCTGAGCACTGGCGACTTTATAGTACAACTGTAGTACGCGGAGTATCTGGCGAGCTGGAAGATGAGAACTGTTGACTTTGTAGTACAACTTTAGTACGCGGACTAGCTGGGGAGCTGGAAGGTGAGAACTGGCGACTCTGTAGTGCCATTGGAGTACGCGGAGTGCTGGGGAGCTGGAAGATGAGAACTGGCGACTTGGCAATCTGTGGAGCTGGAAGCTGAGAACTGGCGACTGTCTAGTACAACTTTAGTACGCGGAGCAATCTGTGGAGCTGGAAGCTGAGAACTGGCGACGTTGTATTGCCACTCGAGTACGTGGAGTATCTGGGGAGCTGGAAGCTGAGAACTGGCGACTGTCTAGTACAATTTTAGTACGTGGAACTATCTTCCCTGCATATCTTGGCCTGGTAGTCCTCGTCGCTCTTCGTCGAGCGTTCCACCATGGTCTCAAACAAAGCCCGAATCTCTACTTCTTCGCATCCCTTTGTGGATACTTTCACCATTCTCCTGTCTGGCTCACGGTCTTGAACCAGCAGTACCTCTGAGCCAACACCTTCTGGCGGCTTAGCTTTTCCTTTCACTCTCAGGGCTCTCTGCTCTGCTGCACTCTGAAGCATGACGCTCTCATTATTAAGGTGATACACTGTTGACTTCATTGCACCTCTAAGTATGTCCATGGCATTTCTGTTCTCCTTGGTTAGGGCATCTGCTAGTTGTAACCATGTAGCAACCCACCGGATTGAACCCCAAAGTCTCGTGAGTGATTCCTTCACTATCACTAAATCAATGGCCACCCGCTTGTCCCCTACACAGTCTGTGATATAGCTTGAACCCCACAGTTCTTGAGGTGTTGTGATCGGCTTGCCAAAGAAAAAATTCATGTTGAATTTTGGCTATATGACATGCCAGCCACTCTGTGTGTCCCAGTCCGTCAGCTAAGGCCTGTGTTTCGCCTGCAAAAGTGGAACCAACAACTCGTTTTAAACGATGGGATTTCCACACTGCCGGGTTCCAGGGTGCTGGTTGTCCATCTTTCAGTGCTTGTGTAGTAATACCAACAATGTCCTGCAACAATTCCGGGGCCCCTCCATCTTGCCATACACTTCTTGATACCTCTACCTCTGCGCCAAACTGCTACCTCATCGCCCGGTCTAAATTCCCTCTTGGGTCTTGGTCTGGCATTCAGTGCGATTCTAGCTGCTCCATGGTCCAATGACTGGAGAACTGCTTCCTGAGCCTTCTGCCGCGTCCGGAATGAAAAACGTCTTCGAGGATGGCTCCGTTTGATATGGGGCTTGGCTCAGCATCTAAAAGTCTAAAAGGTCATCTCCTGGGTATTCGGGGCCTCTCCCAAAGACCAATTGGTTGGGACTGCACCCTCCCCGACGCATCAGCTGATTTTTGGCCTCCATGGTACAATCGACACATTCCAGCCACTGGTTGTAGTCATCCGGCTGCATTTGATCCATGGCTTTTGTCAACATGGTGGAAAAAATGTTTTCCTTGCACTTGGTCCATATCTTTGATACCCATGGAGTACTGCTTCAGGAGCTCTTCGTGCTTCTTGAGAGTGGCTTCACCCACAAGGCCTCTTCCGCATCCAGTGTCCACTACACCGAAGCCTGCTCCACGGACCAAAGCCACCATCGTGTTTTCGCTCTCTGACTCCGATGGCCACCCCGGTGACTCCAGAGCTTCCTCCTGCGCCTTGTCCAGCTCATTTTTGCACTCCTGAGCCAAGGCGGCCAGTTCCTCATCTGGGACAGGGAAATGCCAAAGTCGTCGCGTTGTTTCGGGCAGAACATACCAGGAAAGTCGTCACGTTTTGTAGTTCACCAGCGAACTGCAAGATCTTTTGGGAACCTTGTTCTGTTAAAGGTTTGGTGTGCTTGATGCAATTCCACGCAGTTCTGGCACTCTCTACTGTGAATGTGCGTTATGCTTTTGTTGCAATTCCTTTGCATTTTCATGGTCCTATGACGTTTCGGACCATCATCACACATCATGATCACATGATGAATGTTCCAAAAAATCATTGCCGCGTAGAGTGGTCAATTTTTGACAGACGGTCAAATTATATAATGCGTGAGCTGTTTTGGCCGAAAAACGCTTGCAGTCACCATGTCTGACACTGAGAGTGTCCACGCACCTTGTGCGAAGAGAGCTCGTGTGGAAGCAATCGAGCACACCCGAGGTGGGGCTCAGCACCTTGGTGTTGCCTTGGGGGCTCTCAAAAAAATAATGCACAGAAGCTGCGACCATCGCAGATGAGAAGTTCGTAGCTTCAAGTTTCAAAAGGCAACCGAACAGGATGAACACACACACACACACTTCGACATTGGTTTTCAGTTAGACTCAGTTGCCACGTTGGGAAGATGGCGATGGAACCGTAAGGTGGAAGAGTCAGATCACTTGAAATGTTGAACAAAAGTTTCACTCGCACGGCTGACGGTGACTCTCACGCGGCTGAAAACGTGCGGTGGGAACCTGTGTTTGAGGGGAAGTAGCATGAAGGACCATGAATCAAAGAAAGGAAAAATTGGAGTAAACAGCTTGTAGAAAACGAGCAGGTACACAGATTGGCGTCCCAATCTGCTTCACGGAAAGTCCACAGCTGTCTTCGTTGGCAGCAGAACTGTGGATTCCCTGCTGCCCCCTGCTTATGTGATAAGTGGGAGCGATTCGAAAACCCTTAGAAACAGGGTGTGACACACACACGGTGCCGCTTCGCGGCGCTCGTGTGGGAGGCCTAAATAGACACCTAAAAAACCTTAGAAACGAAAGGAAAGAAAGACAGAAAGAGCAGCGCTAAGAGGGCAAGAAAGAAAGGTAGGTGTAGAAAAAGTGAATACTTAGCCCTTGACTGGGGTAGGGAAACAAGCCTCAAGAACGACCTAAAAAACCTGAGAGAAAGCCCAACAAACGAAGAAAAACGCAAGAAGGAAAGTGGGGGGCAGGGAGGGGGGTGTATGTCCATGTGTGTAGTTAGGGAGCGGGGCTTTAGTCTTAAATCGCCCGGGTAGAGAAGACTAGAACAGGAACAGCACAGGGAAAGGTACCGACACACAAGTGTGTCGAGTACCATTTCCCTATGTTGCCCTAATTAGGTGGGGAGTAGAACTCGGCTGGGGGGTTGGGAAACCTGCCTGAGTGCGGGTGGAATACCGTTTTATAGCCCGGCGGCTCTGGATTCTGTGGTTGCGTGGATTCCATCGTTTATAGCCCGGCGGCTCAAAGTTCCGTTAATTCAGTTATGAACGTGAAGCGGGGAGACAGTTATAAATATGAAAGGTCGGTGACTTCCGGAATGGTTTCAGCGCCTCCTTTCGGAGGGTCACACCCAGTACCCACGTGGGAAGACTGAGCGGTTCACACTTCGACATTGGTTTTCAGTTAGACTCAGTTGCCACGTTGGGAAGATGGCGATGGAACCGTAAGGTGGAAGAGTCAGATCACTTGAAATGTTGAACAAAAGTTTCACTCGCACGGCTGACGGTGACTCTCACGCGGCTGAAAACGTGCGGTGGGAACCTGTGTTTGAGGGGAAGTAGCATGAAGGACCATGAATCAAAGAAAGGAAAAATTGGAGTAAACAGCTTGTAGAAAACGAGCAGGTACACAGATTGGTGTCCCAATCTGCTTCACGGAAAGTCCACAGCTGTCTTCGTTGGCAGCAGAACTGTGGATTCCCTGCTGCCCCCTGCTTATGTGATAAGTGGGAACGATTGGAAAACCCTTAGAAACAGGGTGTGACACACACACACACACATTCCTGGAAAGGTAAGTAATGCTTCTTTGTTGTTGCTTTGTTCTGCATCCTATGCATTGCTTCTCTCCAGCTGGCTCTCCTTTGTTGCTCCAGCTGTGCTCGGTGCTGTTGATGTTTATGTTTTCGGAATCTTGTTGATCGTAATCCCTGTTCAGGCACCACATCGTGGAGGCCCAGATCTCGGTGATGCCCCAGAAACTCGGCAAGGTTTCATCCCTTGGCTGCCGTTGCTGCTGATGCTGCTGGTTTTGTTGCTGTTGTGTTCTCTCGTTTGTTTGTTGTTGTGCCTGGTTCCTGGACCCTAGCAGAAACACAACCTAGTGGGAGTCTTGGTAGGTCATCTCCAACTTGTATTGGCCCATCCTGTCGTGAACATACACACACATACAGATATACGCTCAGATGGGTCAGTATCTTTGGGAGTCCTTCTAAATAAACACCTTGCATAATGACAGGCCTTAGAGACAACATGTCGGAAAGATAGATCCCTTTTTGGTGGTTTTTACTCCTTCTACTACCACAACTACTGCCCCTCTACCTACATACTACTACCTACATACTACTACTACTACCACTACTACCACTACTACTGCTACTACTACTACCACTACTACTATTACTACTACTACTACTACTTCTACTACCACTACGACTACTACTACTACTACCACTACCACTACCACTACCACTACCACTACTACTACTACTACCACTACCACTACTACTACTACTACTACTAACTGATTGGCTGAGTGACTGACTGGCTGGCTGACTGACTAGCTAACTAGCTAACTAACTTATTAACGGACTAACTGAGTAACTAACTTACTAACTGACTAACTAACTAACCTACCAACTAACATAGGGGGCCGTACTGAGTGGATAAAATTGGAGGGGTCAGTGCCTGGACTTTATCTGTGTGCCAGCCTGCCAGCAACCTATCCAGGGGGTCTGTCCTCCAAAAAAAATCAACCCAAGTAAGGAGTGGATATTTTTTGGGGGGTGGATTAAATGGGGTCATTGCATCAAAAATATCCAGAATAAACGTTCCAATTTTATCCACTCGGTAGTGGGAGTAGAAAAAAGGAAAGAAAAGATAGAACATCGCTCGTTGGACGTTCGTTAGGTTTCCGCTCGTTAACAGCTGGAAGCACTCTTGGTCAGCACCTTTCAGCTCTGGATCATTCTCAGTGGGAGCTTGGTTTGATTGATACCAGCTCGGGTTTGCTTCCACGTCAGCAGGATGTCAACAGCGTCCTGCTCTTCGACCTCATCCTCTGGGGCATAGCCAGCCTCTGCCAGGTACACCTCAAACGCGTTCTCATCGGAAGGAATGTCCTGCTCAGACACAGGCTCTCCATCCTCAACGTGATAGGTCCCTGTCTGTTTCGCCGCATGGAGCAGATGATCAGGGTTGGTCGTTCTCAAAGCTGCAGCCACGTCCTTCTCCTTGTAGGACTGTCGTGCCGCTGCGATGACCACCGCCTTCTTCTCAGCGGTAAAGGCGGCGCGAGCCTTGGCAGTGTAGACCGCCGTGCTCTCGCCCTTCTCAATCTTCAAGTCGAAAACCTGGTCGAGCACCTGGCCGAGTCTGTCATGCGTTGCCTCGGCCGGAAACCTCTCATCCAGCACTTGAAAGATCACGTCCTCGCCGCCATCCTCCTCAATCTTCTCCATGGGTGTGGCATCCAATGCCCTCAAAGCTGTCCCATCCAGCAGAGCAAAGATCAAACTCCCATGGGCCGTGGAGGGGATGCCCTTGGCCTTCTGCACCGCCAGGTAGGCCCTGCTCCAGCGTCGCCACTGTTCATAGTGCTTTGAAGGGTTGGCTCCTTCGCCGTCGAACCTCTTGGTAAGGCCCTCCTTCTTGTCCTCAGTCGCCATCTGTTCCGTCGCGGCACTCCGCTACCGATTTGAAGGGATTGGTCGCCCTTTCCCACGAAGACCAGCGGCGCCTGCGGCAGCGAACTCGTCCCTTTTAGCTCGTAGTCGAGCCGCTCGTCCATGCGAACCCTTTCGCCCCGAGTGCTCGAGCCTCGTGGCACATCAAAAGGTTATGGCTTGAGTCAGTAGTAGAAATCACATGGTGGAAACGAAGGCAAGTATATTTTTCTAACCCCTGCAGTTTTTTGACAAATTTGAGGCCTGCACCTAGACAATATATAAATGTTTGAAAACACCAGTTTTTGATGCCTGTGTCACATGTGCAAAAACGATGGGATACCGAGTGTATGTCATGAGAAGATTCGCTGGTGATGTCACATTCCGATCGCGGTATCACGTTGCATTCATAGCCACATGAAAACATACTCAGACAAGGCTGTGGAGATAGGAAAACAGGCGTGGCCAAGCAGGACAAGGCGCGGATACGGCGGTGATAAAAGGGCCCACAACGGGGACAAGCAGGACAGGCAGATCGCCAATCACCTCCGGTGCTTCCTCCTACTCGAGGTCTTGAACTTCTGGTTGGAGTTCGCCCTCTCCATGGTCCTCACACACAGGTATTGACGCCGCCCCAAGCAAAGGCATACCGGCATGTTCTCCCCATGCCCACATCTATACATCTCGTCCCTCGGAAAATGGTCGAACCAATCACGTCCATTGACAGGCAGAAAGCCGAGGATGCATTCTGGTTTCTTCGGTGTGGGGAGCTTGACCCCATCCCCTCCACACAGGAAGGGACATGTCCCGCCTGATGTTTGAAGGAGACCATGTCCCATCCTCACGTGCTGCCTCCAGGCTTGAAGGTCCCATGCTCGACCTTTAGATGTGCGAGTGGGAAAGATAGGTGCATCCACCCCACATACCCTGACAGCATCCACGGATGTTTTTTGAACACGACACCCCGCAGGAAGGAAACACGGGCACACGTGTTTTGCCCAACCAATCATGGAGACAAATGACAAACAACAGGGCAAACATGACGATTAATTCTTGAAACCAGCGTTTGGCGTCCCTTGACCGCTGCCAGGTGCCCCATTGTTAGTGACATACTTGTTCCATTTGCACTTGGGCTTTCCAACATTGTTTTAATGCGGCTGAGCGCGTTGTTTCGCAGTAAGAATGTCAGAATGTCCTCTCAAGTGTGCACCGTAGAGTCAATGACCCAGGCACCCACGCTGGTATTAGCAATCTTTGTTTGCAGAGGTTACCTGAGGTCACCAGTTTACCCAAACAATCAATTTGAACAGCGCAGCAAGCAAGATAGCTATCACTCGCACCAGGTAAGTTCGGCCACGCCATGTTCCCAAGCGGACTGCAATCATGGATTTCTCTGGCAAGCATGGCCCGGTCATCTCTCAAGTCCGGCAGCTTTTGCAGGACCGATTCCGGGAATGGTTTTTGTGTCGGCTTGGAAGAACACATGGAGGGATGTATGTCAACTGTATGTCCATTCAAGTTGGAGGGATGCCAGGTGAATGTTGGGGATGCCAGGTGGTCTTGATTCGAGGGACGTGATGGATCGTGTCATGTAGTTTGCTTGACGAGTCTTGGCAAAAAAGAACGACGGATCATTTGGTCCAGTTTGGGGCGCGACATTCATGACGACTCAGGGTTCCAAACGGTGACCATTGGACTATTGGTATTGATTTTGTGCGCCGCGCGAAGCGGAACACAGTGTGTTTCAAGCTCATTTTGGATCGTTACCATAATTCTGGCCTGGTCTTGAGAGGATGGCCAAATGTTCGAGTTCTTATGCGAGCAGAGTTTTCAGACACAGGCCTGAGATGCTTGCCGCCTGCGCTGGCGAACATCAGTTGTCAAAAACGCACCAAACGTTTCCAGAGGGTGACCGGCGCGTTCGGGTCCATGGTTTCGCACCTGGCACGTTTGGGATCGGTTGGGGTTTATGCGGGCTTTCATGTTCATTTGTTTGATTTTGCGTTGAATTACATGCACATGCCTCGGAGACCTGGCAGTGCCCCAGTTTGCTGAGGCGACGCGTTCGAGTTGACGTTTTGACCTACCCAGTGTCCTCGCATGTCCTCGCCAAATGCGATTAAGAGAACCTCATTGAGCAGTTATTTTGAGTTGATCCGAAAATCCTCATTATGCATAGCTGCATAGCCATCTTAACATCAATTGGAGGTTCGAAGTTCTATACAATGCCTTGAAGTCACGCAGGCCAACAACACTAGATGCAGCTCATCCGATAAGCGGTTTCAAACCCAAATTGTTGATTATGTACAAGTTTATCCCAGCCTACGTCGAGAAAGCAAACAAATAGATTGGCCACAGGAAACCGAAGGCCCGAGCAGGCCCAAGCACGCAGATCGGTGTAGGTTGAGGTTCTTGAAGGTTGTTCATTCATGGATGGACGAATGACATCCCATGGGAATTGATGTGGTCCGGATTCCGGGTTTGTGATAGATTCATGCCCAAGCCCACTTGGCAAAACTCAGGGTGGGTCACGAAAGATGAAATCAATCAAAGGATAAGGTCCTGGCGACTTGGCGTTTCGTTAATTCCTTCAACTAAACCCCATGCATGCCCCCATACAAGTATCATTCCAAAGGTGCACAAAACACACTATGAATCCAATACCACCCAACTGAAGAGCACGTGGCCCAGCTTTCTTCGCAGGCTACTGAGGGCACTGTGACCCTACCGGCGATCGCGCCCATGATCGAGCAAGTGTTGCAGTCGTTGGGTCGCCCTGTTTCGCCGGCAGAGGTCTACCAGGCGGGCGTCCAGGGTTCCGGAAGTCAGGGGAGGAAGGCACAAAGCGTTGGGATGGCTGAACTGTGAAGATTGGATATATATATATATATATATATATCATGATGTTGATGTTGATGGTGGTGACTGATGATGCAATTGACGATGTTTGATGGTAATCAACGGGTCCTTCAGTTGTTTGAATTGGGATTTGTCATTTTTGCAATGCTGTTGCCTGGCAAGCAGAGCGGCACGATCAGGTTTGGACCCAGCATTGTGATCCAGACATGCATCACATGTCGCTGGCTCACTTCAAGCCCTTTCTACGATCCCTTCTGGAAGACTACGTGGCCAAAGCAGAGCAGAGAGAACACACTGAGTCGCAGACGTTTCTGGTTACCCAGCCATTGGACTTCACGGGCACCGGCTACCCGGACTCCGCCGGGTTCCCCGCGCGCGGCGAGAAGCCGGAGCCACCATCCCGCATAGTGACCTCAGTGGAGCTCAGTTCCCCGCCACGCTCCAGTGCGCCAGAACCATCTCCAAGCTCCACTCTGGAGGCTCCAGAGGTTGCCAAAGCTGCAGAGGTTCCACACATTCCCAGCCCTCCAGCCCCAGCGCCGAAGCCCAGCATCCAAGCATGTCCAATCCCTGCGCCGGAAACCAGGCGAAGAAGCCCACCACCCTTGGCCAAGGCAGAACCCAGGGTGTCCAGAGACTCTCCAAGTGCTAAGCCTGGGCCTAAACGGTCCCTCTCCGCCAAAGGCAACACAAACAGTGGAAACACTCCACGAAAAGCTTCCACTTCACCATCAGCAGCTCCACGGAGCAGCAACAAACCGGCACCAAGCGTGCAGAAAGACTCATTCCACGACGCTTTCTTTCAGCTGTCCCCTGACCTGCTGGAGTTGCTCTCTGAAGAGGAGTTGGCTGACGGCTCTAGTGCCCCGTCCAGTCCCTCCATCTTCCGGTCGGCTCGGGAAGCACTTCAGCGGATGCGGGAGCTGTGCCAGGAGTTAGGGGACAGCTGCTTCGTGGATCCCGACTTTGGTCCCACAGTGAAGGACCCGACTGGAAGGAAGTCATTGATCCCGGTAGATGCAGTTTTGCCCGCCGAGGCCTTTCAACAGTTCCCCGGCCATGATCAGGTGTCATGGCTGAGAGCCCATGAAGTGTGGCCCAAAGGCCATCACTTCTGTGGAGAACTGGCAGAAGTTCGGCCAGGGGTTTTTGGTGATGCTTGGTTCTTGGGGGCCTTGTGTTCATTGTCACTGTCAGAAATGGAGCTCTTTGGGCATCCCTCTGGCTATGAAGAGCCTTTAGGGGTTTACCCGCGTGTATTTTGGGATCCTGAGTTTCGACGGCGGGGATTGTATTGCTTCAGGTTCTCGAGTCAGGGTCAGTGGAGCTACGTGGTGGTGGATGACTGTTTGCCTTTCCACCGGAAGACTTCCAAACCATTGTTCTCGTATGCCGTTGGCCTTGACACCCTGCCACATCTATGGATTGCGTTAATTGAGAAGGCCTTTGCAAAGCTTCATGGTGCCTATTTTTCTTTGTGGCTAGGCTTTGTTGACGATGCTTTGGAAGATTTGACCTCGTGGCCCACCGAAAAGCTACAAGTCTCCAAGTTCACAAAGGGCAATGATGGAAAGCGCAAGGATCCAGGTGAGTTTTGGTCAACCCTTTTGGAGCACAATGCCTCGATGATTTGCCTTCGGGCGGACGCAGGCGACGGGACTGACAAGAGCGATATGGTGCACGTGGACCCTCAATCCATTCACTTGGATGCACGTGAGGTGGGGTCCTTTTGCACGGGCATTTTCCGGAACTGGGCCTATCCGATTCTCTGCCTGAGAGCTTGTGACTTGGGGGACTCAGATGGACTGGATCAACCACCCGCGCCACCCGTCCGTTTCATCCGACTGCGGTCGTTCATGGGTGGATGGCATGGCCCCTGGGGAGATCAAGACTTGAATCTTGGTTTTGGCTGATGAGAGGATTTTTCGCCGTGGGTGAATGTTTGCTTTGAGGGCTTTTCTTTCGTATGGTCCCTCATGCCTTAACGTTCTTAAAGCACATGCAAGGAATTGGAGCCAAGCACCTCAAGAATTGGTTCAAGAACTTCAAGCCAGTGTAGGGAGCAGTTTCGTTCCTGCATGCAGCTTGGGCTTGAAGCATGATGGAGTGCACCAGTCCATGTTGCGACCCCTCATGCCCTTACACCCGGTTGAGCAAGCCCAGCATGATGGGACATTTGTGATGAGATTTGATGATTGGATGATGGTCTACAGTCACGTCCTCCTTCGACATCGTCTTCCACATGAGTCCGGGTGGAGCCATCTTCGATTGCAAAACAGCTGGACTCGGGACAGCTGTGGCGGGACACCTATCCCTGTGCAGCAACCGGTGCTTGCCACTCTGGAGACTTGGGCTCGGAACCCTCAGTGCCGCCTGGTGCTCGAGGCGGATGCCGACGAAGTGGAGATTTTTCTGACACTTCATCAGGCTGATGCCCGGCTGAAGGGTCACCTGGCAGCAGTTAAGTGTTGATGCATAATGATCATAATGAAGGTAGGCAGGACCTACCCTCATCATGCCTCCATTAAAAGCATCGTGAAGGCACCCTAACAAATCCACATGCACGATACATGCATGTGTAATTTCTGTCGCTAATGTAGAAAAAGTTATAAGCATCCCCATTGCTACCGGTTAGCTAAAATGAGTGTGGTCGACAACGGAAAACCAATAACTATGTTCTGATTTAGTTTAAGGGTTAGGTAGTTATCTAAAATGAGTCTTAAATAATATGGATGACACTGACACGGATGAACTCTTTGCACAGTCAAATCAGCCAGTCACGACAGAAAGTTGTTTTCTGTCTTGCACGTTTTAAATATACTGATATGTATAGGCTTAGGGATTGAAGTCTTACCAGTTATTAGTTATATAGACAAGCGATTTGTACATAAAATGGAGGGTGAACCTCAATATTTGGTAGCAACGTGGATGTATAAAAAGCATATTACTTTGATTCCCTGTGCTGGTTTAGCGTAGTTGCCGGGGTTACGGGCTTAATCCGAGGCATTTGCGCGGTAAAAACGGTAAAAAATTGAAAATATTATTTTTTTACCGTTTTTACCGGGGGGGCGCTCCTTTTTCTTCTACCATATCCGCGGTAAAAACGGTAAAAATCAAAAATTTGTTTTTTTTTACCGTTTTTACCGGGGGGGCGCCCCTTTTTCTCTTCCATATCCGCGGTAAAAAAGGTAAACATTGAAAATTTTATTGTTTTTCCGTTTTCCCCGGGGGGGGCGCCCCTTTTCTTCTAGCATATCCGCGGTAAAAACGGTAAAAATCAAACATGCTATTTGTTTATCGCTTTTAACCGGGGGGCGCTCCTTTTTCTTCTACCATATCCGCGGTAAAAACGGTAAATATGGAAAAGACTTCCTTTTTGTTTAACGTTTTTACCGGGGGGGCGCTCCTTTTTCTTTTACCATGCGGTAGAAACGGCAAAAATCGATTCTTTTTTACTGTTTTTACCGGGCGCTTCCTTTTTCAATACCATATCCATCATATCCGCGATCAATACGGTAAATTTAATTGTTTTTATTGTTGTGCCGTTTCGGTCGAGGGGGGGCAAACGGGTCTAGGTTTTTTCAGTTTTTAACGGAGGGTCACCGCTGTTTCTTCTGCCATATCCGCGGTAGGTAAAAATCTAAAGTTTTCGATCCAAGTGATGTAGGCTTTTATTGCCCTGCAACAGTTAAAAGTCATTAAATTTTGATCAATCACCAAACTCCTCCTGTCGAAAAGGGCACACGCTCCTATATGATAGGAGGAGTGAACCCCACCTGGTTATAGGAAAATACCCGGGCTGTAACATTAAACCTTTTTGTTGACAGAGGTCTTCTAGCTTGCGACCTGGTCCGGAGGCATTCTCGCGGTAAAAAACGGTCCAAAGTGAAAATTACTACTTTTGTTGTTTACCTTTTTTAATGAAGAGTCGCTTGCTCTTTTTTGCTTCTACCATATCGTTAAAGATCAAAGTTGTATTGTTATCCGTTTTTGTAGGTGGACTTGTCCTTTTCCTTTCTACCATCTCCGTGGCAAAAACGGTAAAAATATATGTTTTTAATCTTTTTTACTGGGGGGCGCTCCATGTTTAAATTTCATATCGATTTTTTTTTTTTACCGTGTTTACCGGGGCGGGAATGAGAAAAGGGACTTCCTCTCCGTTGAGTTTGACAAGTACGGTAAAAATCGAAAATGTTATGTTTTTACCGTTTTTACCGGAGGGGCGCTCCTTTTTCTTCTACCATATCCGCGGTAAAAACGGTAAAAATCGAAAATTTTCTTTCTTTACCGTTTTTACCGGGGGGCCGCTCCTTTTTCTTCTACCATATCCGCGGTAAAAACGGTAAAAATCGAAAATTTTCTGTCTTTACCGTTTTTACCGGGGGGCCGCTCCTTTTTCTTCTACCATATCCGCGGTAAAAACGGTAAAAATCGAAAATTTTCTGTCTTTACCGTTTTTACCGGGGGGCCGCTCCTTTTTCTTCTACCATATCCGCGGTAAAAACGGTAAAAATCGAACATTTTCTTTTTTTACCTTTTTTCCTGCGGGGTCGCGAAAGGATACCCCTTAGCAAAACAACGCTCGCGAACCAGTTGATTCCCATGTTCAATTGAAACATATTGAATCTCTTTGGTGAAGATATGGCACTTCTGAGGAAAGTCGACTTTCCCCTTCGAAGATCAGCTGCGTCAAATCTTTGTGTGCGTGATGGATGGGGTGGAGGGGGAGCGGCTGAGTATCTTCGACAAGAAGCGCATTGTGCGGCAAAGGAATGGCTCCAGCGCTGCCAGCCTCTTAAGTCGAAGACGCTCAGTGCTCTTACGGACCAGGCTGGCAAGCCCTGGTACCTATGCAGCTCGGGAGTTTGAGAGTTTTTGGAGAGTTTGGTGTTAAGTTTCAGAGCTTGAAAGAGGTGCACAGCAATGCAAGGAAGAATATAAGTTTTACTGAGATTCACTCTTTCTTTCGACGCGGGTTGTGAGGGCGACTCACGCGATCCTTGTGCACTCCCAGAGACGAATATACGTAGAAGCGAAAGTGTTTAGAAGGCTAGTCGAGCGACTAGCCTTAAGATGAAACACCTTCATGAATGGTCTGATACAAACACTGCATATATCATCGTATATCAGCCCGGCTGCCTTTGTATATCAGCACGCGAGCTCAGGCCATCATTCCATCGATTTGGGAACCTGATCTCCCTGGACAGGTTTCAGCATTTTGCCGGCAAGAAGAGATGTTGCTCGAACAGTGGACACATGTAGTGGACACGTGTAGGCACCATTCACCCCATGAGGGACAAGGACCTAAGGAGGAACCGTTTGCACCATACTTCATCGGAAGGGTCAGGAATTTACCTTTTTCTTGTACAACCAGGAAAGCTTTCAATGCCCAGAAACAACCAACCCCACCAAATGAGTCCCATTGAGGGATGAGACCCGTGAGAAAAGAGCTGACCCTGAAGAGGGGAAAGACCTGCCATATTGTTTCCAGACCAGAAAAGGTCCATCACATGATGGGTTGCGACTCCGTGATGCCCCCAGGTGCCTTTCGTGCTCACCTTGCACGTCCATTGCGACGCTGAGAAGTTCCTGGTGGACGCTCCTGAATCAGAGGGATGGGAGTTGCCAAAGTGCGCGAGAAACGGGGGAGAAATCCTGACTGATCGTCGTGTGAGCAGCGTGGACATATGGGAGGAGCTTCTCACATTGTGAACTTGGATTGGGCACCAGCTTGCTGACAAGAAACATTTGAACTCCTAGCTTGAACCTTATGATTTGAGAAGTGATTTGAGATTATACACACATCTGAAGGAGTGTCCAGGATTGAGGCAGGCTGCTTCCCATGAAACTTGACTCATCCCTCATGTAGACAATGAAAGCAAGAACACGCCCAATACAGCTGCCCCTGCTGAAACTCTAAACAATTCTAAACATCTCGAGTCTCTAAACGAATACATAACAACCTTGCAAGCATGAGCTGAAGAAGTGTTTCTCATGACCAATGATCCACAGCATCAGTTTGTGCCAGAGCATGTGGACTTCCGATTCTCAGACGGCAGGGAATCATAGCATCATCATGAAGGAGGGCATGAGATATCATTTACAGCAGCTGGAGCTGTCACGAGCATAAGGGGCATTTGGCCAGAGTTTTTTGGTTGAATGTGTTGAATCCGAGTCCCCACCGTGCCGTTGCATTTGGCTCCGCAGTTTATACTTCAATTCTGCACGGGATCTGGCTCCGACCATGTCGGATGCCGATGTTTCACCAGATGCTGAGCCTCCAGCCCCGCCAAAAGCACGGGATTATGCACAGGGCTATGCGGCTCAACTGCAGCTAACCACCCTGGAGGAGTGGCAGATGCTTGAAGGTATGTGCTTGTTTGATCTGCGGTTTTTACTTGGGCCCGCGTCAAAGTGTTTATTCTGTATACTGTATTACTGCTTACGATCTCCCCAGTTTTTTGTATCCCCTCCCTCTCTCTCTCTCTTGGCCGTTTTCTCTCTGAGCCCCGCAGCGCCGTATGCGCCGGCCTGGCGCCATATGTCAGGTGGGCTACATCTACGAGGATGCTTTTAGGGAACTTTACGCCGAGCACCCCGAAACTGGAGATCCGGAAGAGGGAGCGGCCGATGGTGCGGCACCCAGAGATGTGGCGCGTGGAGGCAGGCGCATGGACGACGGGACCCGTCAGAAACTGCCACGATGGCTGGCCACGATTTCGTGGGACATCCTCGTGAGAATCATGAGACATGAACCATGTTGAATTTAATGGTGGGGGTTGATTTTGCTCAAAGATGGCCGGCGCTGTGCCCATCTCCCTTTCGAAACGGAGTCGGGGAGTGAACGCGGTGTTTGGCGGTCCCAAATGCAACATCGCCCAACATGCGTGTTCGAGTCCTTTCCCGGTATTGGTGGAAATCATTCCGATGCTTGCTTTAGTAGGCAAACTGCCCAGGCACCGGACGGAGGCAAACTGCGTACAAGACGTCACCATGTTTTGGCGCAAAAGACGGACCAAACTCACTGGGGGCCCTTCTGTTTGTCAAATTGGCCAGAAGGTTTGTTGACGGGCGGGTAGTATTAAAAATAAACCAAACTTAATAGCAATGGATTGCCATTACAGAGAAGAACCAAGAACGAATTCTAAAGAGAGAAAGAGATGAACTGCCAACAAGTACATAATTGGGAAGTGAATCCGAAAGTGGAGGTTTCTATAGAACAGTGACCTAAAGTAGAAATTGACAGAGGAGAGAATCCCAAATTACCGAAGAGTATCCGAAAGCAGAGGTGCCGACAGAAAAGTTCTGACAAGTGGAGATTTCTAAATGAAAGTGTCCCAAACTAGAGATGTCTAGAGAAGTTTCCCAAGGCAGGAAAGTATCCCATCGTCAAGACATCTGAAGAAATGCACGAAAAAGGCAAGGTTTTTCACCTCGGTTCAATACTTCAAACAATTAAACCACCGCCATAGCCCATCACATCACGGTCACAGGACAATTTACCGTGCTAGACGCCACCAGGTACAGAACACCACTGTTAAACGATACACCTTGCCACATACCAATCAGCATGCTACATGTCACTTCAAAGTTGAGGCAACACACACCAAGACATTGCAAATCACCACATCAGTCATCAAGTGACCCTTGACGAACCACAACCGATTCATCACATACTCCATTCCAAGAGTGGTACCAGGCCACCCTGATTCCTGAAGGGGATGATGTCAACTTGCACATTCACAGAAACAAACTCCGGAAATTGACCAAATCTGCCGGCGACGGAGAACCGTTCATTTGATTGGTACATCTCGTACCCCCCCTTCTCCCAACTCGCCCCGCCCAGCTTGGCGTCATGGGTGACGCTCAAGGTGCAGAAGAAGTGCCCAAAGCGGACACCTTCATCCGAGCCGATGGGGAGATCAACCTGAACAAGGACGGTGGACGGTGGGTGGACGGTGGGCGCTGGACGGTGTGGAGTGGACCCCTTGTCGTTGGGGAGGAATCGCCTCACACCAAAGAGAGTTGGTGAACTGGGTGAAGAGTCATGACCCTTTTTGGGAAGAAAGTGTTCATTCGAAAGAAATTGATGTGCAACAAATTTGGCTGGCTACAGGATTGGTTCTTTTATGTGCTGTATTGCATGCATCAGGGCCATAACAACAGGTAAGGCCTTGAAAGCATTTTTTGTAAGTTTCAAGGTTGATATACGTTGGGGAACCGGTTGCCAGGTCATGAATCAATCCTCCAAAGCCTTTTTGAAAGTTGACCCCCACCTATTGTGGTGCAGAGTTCGATGGAGAAGAGTTCGAATGGGAGACGGCATTGACAGTAGCCTAGCCGCGAATAAAGCCCAGTTTGGAGAGCCACGTCCATGCGGAGCACCTGGACTGCAACCAATGACCTTTTTTGCGGTTCGCCATGAAATGATGCCTGGCTGCGTCATCCACAGGAGGTGGAGGAGATTAAAGATATTCAGGACCAGGCAGGGTCGGACGACCTGAGTTGAAGTCCTCTTCAGGGTGTGCTCCTGAGCTCTGGATCTCACAGTCCACTGAATGAAGGATCTCTTCGACAGCCACCTGAATGGCCACCTCTTCGACCCCAGCCCCTTCTGCGCCTCAAGACGCAGCGGCCTCACGCATCGGACCCGCGCGCCAGGTGTACTCCGAAGAGGGGCGCCTCGCAGAGCTGCAAGAGCTCCTGCGCGTGCAGATCGAGGGCGCGCGGGAGTCCGATCAGCAGGAGACGGCGGTGGAGTGTGGTGAGGTGGCCAGGAGACCTTGGCATCGTTTAGAAGGTTGTGGGAGTGGAAACTGGGGCAAATTGGAGAATAGGCACAGCCAAAGTTGAACTCCACCTGGAGCAAAGGATGGTGGAAGGTGAGGAAGGAGTAGTGTGACTCCCAGTGGCTGTTTTGCGTTTGTTGTTAGATCTGGCTAGTTTGCTCACATTCGCGCATTCCTGAAGCCTTTTGACCAAGCAAGATCTGCTTCATAGAACTGGTTCCCTGCAAGCACTTCTTGGAGTCCCAAGTAGCGCACCGTGCTCCGCCGCAGGAGGCGGAAGCTTTGCTGGAGCGGTGGGGCTTAGTCATGCGGGAGCAGGTGCCGGTCCCCGAGAGCCACCCGTCGTGAGAAAGCGCACACGGTGAGAGTCCGCGGTGACACATGGTGCGTGGGATCAAGGTGGGGTGGCTGTGGTTTTTTTTGTTCTGTTAGGCTGGGGTGTTAGGGTGGCAGCTGAGTGAATCATTGAATCACGGTTCAGAATTGTTGGAGTTGAGAGTGGCTGCATGCGGGTCCTTAGTTGAGGCAAGCTGAAGCACATGCTTGACCGCAATCAGCTGGAGAGCGAGCGGTTAATTGTGCCGTGCGGGGCTTAGAAGCAACGACTTTTCGCCCATCGCTGGTGTCCAGGTGTCCTCAGAAAATCGACACTGCAATCTATTAGAAAATTCATGAAAATTCTTTGTTTGTGGCTGGCCTCACTCAACGAACATTGCGCAAGCACACCTTTGCGTGCTGCTGACAGGTTTGGCGTCTCCACACATTAATCATCAACTATCAGCAGACAATTCTGATTCTTGTTGAGGCGTGGCATGATGGAAGACATGGAGCGCTACTATGACATTAAGAAGGGAACAATCCCTCAGCATGACAACTTGCTGGCAGTCTCCAAGCCGGAGGACTGAAGAAAATATATCATCCAAATGTGCTTGTATACTGTGTAGTAATATATATATAATATATCATGTTTAAACATATTTATGTGTGTTTGTTTGGTCAGTTGTATTGTTGGCCCTTAAGTAGGTCATTCCAAGCATGACAGTCAAACATTAAGCTTGTAGCATCTCAGAGTATCAGAGCACCTCAAATCAACGAGTCTCCAACCACAAAGTGATCACTGATTTGTGCCTTGCGTTTGATGACGGCAAGTCCTTAAAGAAGCATTGCGCACATATCAATCAAATCACTATATGTTTGATACGCTGTGCAGATACATTGCCCAACAATTCCAAACAATGACGCACGTACCAACTATGGTTCGCAGTCGTGTTGGTAAGTCATTGGTATGTTAGGCACGATGTCCAAGAATTCCAGGGGTGTTGCTGATTCGGAACAACCGTGCCAGGAGCCCAATCACTTCAAGATGACACGATCGCAGAAGCTTCGAGCAGAGACGATGCAGGTCTTTTGGTCTGCGCAGAGGGCCCGTGTTTGTCAATCGTTTTTGGGATGGGTTTGGCTGGGGGGCATGTGCACAGGCCTTGAGTCTGGAAGCTTGGAATTCCCTATCATTTGCACCGCAAAAGGCTTGCAAGAATCGGCTCCTCAAGCCACCAGGAACCTCCCGTTGGACCTGTTTGACCACCCACCATTCCGAAGCCAAACTCTTCGGGGCCCGAAGCCGCACCCGAGAGGGGCGTGGTGAAGCCAGGTGAAGGCGACCCTCACCGAGGAGCAACGGAACACCATTGCCGCGGAGCTTCAGGCGACGGTCGTGGTCAGCGAGGGAGCTTCCGCTGGTAGGATCCAGGCGGGTGACCATGGTCAGGGCTTGTGACCCAAATCGAAGCCATGCGAATCCCTTGTTGCCCTACATGAGAAAACACAACGACGGGTTTTCTCGCCCCCCCAAAAAAATACACAATAAAAATACATACTCCGGACTCCGGTCTCGTTTGTGTGAATAGGGGGGGAGTTGGCTTCGTATTGAACGTGTTTTCACAGTGAGGTCGAGAACATCTGCCAGGCGCCAGGCAACCAGGGACCACAGCTTTCATTCATTTGCTTTTTCCTCGGACGCTTTACGTTCTACCGTTCTACTTGGGGGAAGGCCATGAATAGAAAGCCTTGATCTGGGAACCCTTTTCGCGTCAGGCGGGTGATGGTGATATACAATATTGTGATATGAAGGCCCTTCCATTTCAGTCCAGCAAATGCTGGCTTCTTTTCTGTTGGGTTAGCTGCATGCGGATCTTGGTGAACGGTGCTTCAGTTGCCCTTTTACGTCACCCATTGCCGCCATTGCCACCGCCACAGCCCACATCACCCATGGGCGCCCGCCAGGAGCGGCTTCGGAAGCGTCCTCGGATGCCTGCGGGTCTGAACGCCGATCAGAAAGCGAAGAACCGGGAGATCGTGAAAAGGATGCAGATGAAGGCACGTGATGAGCGCCATTCGCATAAGGAGCACGTGGCTCATCCTTACTAGTTGATGTTCAATAGAAAAATGTTAGCTGGGGGGTCGAACATGTATCATTACATTATTGACCGTATTATTGACTTAAAAACAACTTGTTATATTATACATATATTTTTATATTATATACAAGTTTGACCCTCAAAGTCAAGGAACATGTATATAAGTTACATTTAGGGTCCCCCCTCACTAATTTGTGGCGATCTTATTGTAATCCTTAAGTATTGATGATGTCAAGGATCAGCACGTGATCTCTTAGAAATTACGGTGAAAAGCCGGAGCCAAGGAGCCTTTTCAGGGCTCATGCTGTCGGCACAGACAACTTTCCAGGTATACTCGAAGGTCTAATATGCGGAAAACAAGTGCCTTTTGGGGCCCCACATGCACTCGCGAAAAGAAACATATGGGCGGAGGGCAGGTGCAGCAGCCGCATCCTTCCGCACTTCCCGCATTGTGCTGCCCTCGAAACCAGGTGAACTTCTTGAAGAATCCTCGGTTTCTAGCTGACCGAGGAGGCAAAGATAAGGGCGAGCCGTGCCCTTTTTGGTTCCTCGGCAGATGGTGGCAGCTCCATAGGCCTCACGATAATCTATTAAAAATCTACTGTAGATTTGGGTGGCCTTTGTCGGGAGCAGACCCCGCATATGATTGCCTGGCTGAAAGTTTCGACATGTCTTGGACTACAGTGTTGTTGGGTGGACACCCTGCTTTTCAATTTCAATGTTTCGATCCTCAGGTTCACACCCGACGTGGTGCTGTTTCGGAACTACGAGATCGGCGGGCTCTACCAGATCCGGGTACCTTTGGCTTCCCACTCGGTCACGTTCGAAGGCATGTACTAACGAGGTAAAGCATGTTCGGACCGATGTCCGGACGTTTGGTAGGGTCATGCGAGCTCATTGGGACGCTGCTACAATTCTATCATATTCTATAACCAACAGCTCCTAAAGTGGACGGACTTTTTCAGATCTCCTTCCAACGATCGGTCACAGTCCAAAGACCTGTAAACAGCGAAAGCCCTGGTCGGATGCTGTTCTGCAGCATTTGGCCACTGTGAATGTATCTCCAATCGTCAGGTGGAGTTCCGCAACTGCACTGGCATTAGCCGACGTTTGCGGGTCTTACCCTGCAAAAGTGCCGCTTTCTCCATCAAAGAGCTGCACTACGACAAGGACTGGTGGAAAACGACCAGGGCGGTCTATTTTGCGGGAGTTGTTTTCAGATATGAAGGTTGGTCCGTTGCCAAGTGATTTGTTAAGGTGGAGACCCAAAAACGTCAAGAACATGGATCATGGATCTGTCAAGGAACACCTGTTCGATGTCCGACGTCTCACGGCTTGTGAATTTCAAGGCCTAGCAAGGTCAGAGGTTTCGACCAGAAGTTTCTTCAGTTAGAGGTCGCATCGAACGTGTTTAAAGCATTTATTGTGCACGAAAAGGCGAACTCGTGCGCTCAGCTTGCCCCCAATGAGCCAGTCAGTATCAGTCAGTTCTGCTGTTCCCAAGTCACTAAGCGTTTTGCACCCCATGGACTTCCAACCATTTGGATCCACAAATGGGAACAAGAAGCTACACTGTGCATTACTGTACTAACAAAGGGCATTTCTACTAGGAGCCAGTTGGAGCAAGGATGCTACTGACTAGAGGCTCCTGGCCTTACTACTAGGAACAATAAGCGCCTGAGCAGGAGCTCAATTCCCAGCGGCCGGAGCTCGTCGGCTTAGATCCTCTGGCCGCAGTCGTGGTGCCTGGCCTGGCCGCCCATCTGGTCGTGTCGGGAGCTGAGAGAGCGCCATGTGGGGTTTGGGGCACATTCGTTTGGGGCTGCCGAGGTTTGGGATCATAGGATCTTGGGTCATCTTTCGGGCCGTTTCAACTCCACTAAATTCTATCTTATCCATTCTCCACGGCACGTTGGTAGATTTGTGCGAACGATCCAATGACCTGATCCAGGCAATTTGCACCCAGCACGCTGAACGACGAGAACGATGTGCTGACCATTTGCACAGAGGTGGGCGACTACGAGCTGCCCTTGCTGTCGAGACGGGAGCAGCCAAGCCTAAAGATCGCGGATCCGGTGGACTGCGGCTGCATGCTTGCAGGCCACATGGGAAACGATACCCAGACACGACCTGTTTGGGACTGGGGATGGTTGAAAAGGGGCCAATTGATCGGCATATATATATATATTATTCCAGTCAGTATTCCAGTCCCATATGAAATCACCCCAATAAGGCGACTGGAGGGCGTTTGTTTCCCTTGGTCGAAACCAGAGGACCCGAAGCTGCAAGTGTTGGTACGTCTTGGAAAGTCAAGGCAAGAGATCCAAGACGAATATAGCAGGCTTTGGAAGTTGTTTGCCAGATGTTGCAAGGATTTTCGCCTGTTTTACCTGAATGGTGGAATTCTGGGAGAAGGAGTGGTGACCACTAAGGCACCATGGCTGTAAGAACCTTGTGCGAGTCCAGGGGCCAAAGGATGCACATGGTTTGCTGTAATCAGTGTGGACATTTTCAGACAAGGCTAGGCCGATTTTGATCTTTTCGAGTGCTCCAATACGACCTCTCCCGTTCCGCGCCTGGGACCCACTGTCCCTCTTCAGGCAACAACATCACTGAAATGGTGCGAATTCATAATTCTGGAGGTGAAGGTGCCTTTCGGCTGATTGTGAACGAAGAAGATCCACCAGAAGATTACTTCTATGAGACCTTCCCTGGCTCTGAGATGTGCTTGGTGGTGGGATCCTTCTCTGTTTCCCCGGCCTCCTTCTACATGGATGCGAATTCAAGCATCGAGTTGTGCGTGAAGTTCAATGCTGACAAGGTAGGACATCATCGGTGTCCCATCTATGTGGAAGGTGACAATGGCGAGAGGACCTTGATGACCTTAGTAGCTGTTTGCGACGCGATTCGCCTGGAGTTAGCACGTTGGCCAACGCTCAAAGACGATTTGAAGCCGCTTCCGTGCGAAGATGGTGTTTCGCCATGGCAGTTGATCCCATGGCGCTTAGATTGGCTACGGCCTGGCACCCAAGTAGGCCACATCTCCCAACAGACCATCGAGATCGCCAATGGCGGCTTTATGCCCATGCGTGTGGATTGGCAGTGGCCTGATTGCTGAAAGGTGATTCCTCTTTGTCACGTGTTCGTTTCCGTTCCTTGCGGATCCTTGCATAGGTTACCCAAAGGATATGTGTTTCATTTATTCATTAATTTGATATTTGCTTTGTTTATTTGACCTGGACTTCTTGGGGCTGCATGTTGCATGAGGCCCATAGATTGGATGCAGGATTGGAAACTTTCCATGCATTTCCAGGCCAAGGCTCTTGTTCATGCAATGCTGGGCATTCTGTTTCAGTCGTTGCTGCGCCCGAGGTTGGCTCAGCCCCCACGGCTGTCCTCGGCACGACTCTCTGTAGGCTCGCTCAACCGTTTATCGGATCGCTTGATCAACGAGATCCACAATTGTCGCCTCCACGTTCCGAGGACCAGGGGGCGACCAGGGTGGAGAGGGGAACCTGAAGAGGGGAAGCCGGTGTTTGAGCTCTCGTTTCGTGCACGCAAAATGGTGCACTCATTTGATTGGATTGTTGGGCCCAGTCGACCGGGTCAGCGTTTCCTCTTTTGTGTCTTGATACCGAGCTGCCGGAGCCACTGGAGGACCCACTTGAGCTCTTCGTGCCCCTTCATGGTGGTGCCCTCTTCAGTGATTTTAAAGCCCTTTAGCCGGCAGAGGCTTGGTGGCCAATGATGATGCTGTCCAAGTCTGCCGCTGATACCTAGAAAGGACTGATGCACTCCTACTCACTCACATACATGGAAGTGGAAAACCCCCTGTTCGTCAAGGAAAGTAGATTAGCCAAGACTCAAGGACTGCGGACTGCATGAGATGCGGACTAACCCCCCCTTACGTACTGCTGGGACCGGCAGCCCGCCACTTTTCGAAGGTCCCTAAGGGGTTCGTGTAGGATAATATGCCCTAGGGCTCCAAGTACCTTCTGAGGAGGTACTTGGAGCTTTAGGGATGGGAATGGCTTCAATGAGTTCTAGGTGTTTTCTCATCAGAGCCAAAAAAAACAGTCTGGAGACATATGATCGACTCTTGGGAGCAGAGCCCACTGCGGATGCCTGGCGGATTCCATAGAGAAGGAAGCAACAAGAACGCTACTAGGGGCTCCTGGCATCGCTACTAGAAGCAAGGACGCTACTATAGTGACTCCTGGCCTTACTACTAGGAACAAGAAGCTACTAGCAACAAGTGCCTTACTAGTAGTAACAAGAAGCTATTAATTTATGTTTAATTCTAATAGCAAACATTGTTACTACTAGTAAGGCACTTGTTACTACTAGCGTGGCACTTGTTACTAGTAGCAACAAGGATGCACCTTCAAGACGTGGCCGAACATTCGGGTGGAAGACCGCCGTCTTGACAGTGGCCCCTTTCTGGACGACTCCATAAACCACGCCGTCTGAGAGACCGAAGCAATCAACCCCCTCCGTGGCCCCGGGTGTTGCTGAGGAAGTTCACCTTTCAATTCCAGGCGCATGGTCCAGTAGCCTGGGCAGTCTTCAGTTGGGTTTGTTTCTTATGTGTTTTTTTTGTTTCTGTGTTTGCGTGTCCTATGTTGTTTCACGTATTTGTTCCTGTGAGTCTTCGACACATTAAGTCAAACAACCAAAGCACAGTTCAAAAGCCATCAAAAGCCCACTCGCGAAACTCAAACGGAACCGACACGAAAAAAGAGATGAAAAGAGGCCACAGCAAAGGATGGCATCCAGGATGGCAATCAATGGTCGCATGCCTGGAATTTTTTGTAGAGGCATCCCAGTAATTACCTTCTCAAAAATTTTGATTGGAGACACTGTGATGATCTGTTATAGGTTTGGAGGGTCCAAGTACCTTCTGAGAAGGTAATTACTTGAACCCCTATAGGGAATTAGAGTGGTTTCCATTTGGGCCCATCAAACCCTCACAGCAGTGAGGTTGGCACCCAAAGCTCGGTGTTCGCATACCTGGTGGCTCGCGACCTGCCGGACAGCAAGGCCGGGAGCTGGCATAGCAGAGGTTCCATTGGGAGGTGTTTTTCATGTGTAGGACTGGCATCCTGCCATACTTCATGGATAGATATAGGTAGATTACATCATGAAAATAACATTAATCAGTATACATTTTACTGTACATTATATAATTAGTGTAATAAGTATTGCAATATTATTGCTAAAGCATATAAATGTATGCGTCTTTTGTGCTTTTGTGTAGGGGCTGCGGTTTTGACACTTTGGTTCTTGCATTTGAGTTCCGGTTGCGGCTACTTTTTTGGTACTGGTATCGCCGTCCTGAATCGGCGCCCGGTCCAGTTGCTTGCGCCCTTCCATGACAAAGCCAAGAGATATATACTTCAAGCATCTCCGTGTGCTGCGTTTCCACACAGCAACACACCCAACAACATTCCAAGCGTTTCCTTGACGTATTCGTTTCATTTTGATTAAACACGTCCATCCCTTTGAAATGTTTTGAAACTATACATGTTCGCCACTGACAACTCCTATTCGCCATTGCGACCTAGAATTTGGCACCGGGAAGTCTGCGAAGGTGCTGCATCCATGATTTCGAAAAGGGCGGCGCCCTCCAACGAAAGGGGGCGCAGAAGACCTAGAAGATGACCGCACCCAGACATGCGGCAACTCCCGGATCAAGCCGTGTCCAAGGATCAGCCGAGACCCCTCAGATCCTTGTGATACTTGCTGACTTGCTTCTAAATCAGAAGATGCACAGAGCTGTAAGATGCTCACATAGCAGTGTTGTGAGCTTATGCGCTGCTTGTCGTTTGTTAGGCCTGCGTCTTGCCCTACAATAAGTTGTTGGAGCTGCAAGGGGAGATGAAGTCGGAGGGCCAGCATCTCGGAGCCACCGAGAAACCGCACGCGCGCTGGCACAGTGCCTACAAAAGGGGGGTGAGAGTGGGTGAGTGTTCTACCATTGCTGAAAGTGGTGATGTGACAATGGTCGGGAGTGGGCAATGTGTCAATATCCAGCATGTGAATTATATAAATGTGGAGTCCTGATTCTGGACAGCTGAAAGAGTGGGATGATTTTGAGGAGCGAGGGAGGTTTGGCATCATACAGACATATGTGTGTGTGTGTGTCCACCCCTGGACAAAGGGTTTCGTCCAACTGATCCACC